CAACTTCCAAAAGGGCAGCTGAATTCTTGCATCACTTATAGATCATAGAGGGGTTGTGGAACAGAGGTAAAAGCAGGAATCTTATGCCACCCTGGCCTTCGGTGCCATCAAAACCAAAGTCTAGTCAAAAACTAGAATTTTGATGTGAGCCACGAGCTAGCCAGATTCTGGCTAAATCAATCACAGCTGCACTCACGCACTCTTTGCATGGTTTACTCACACACTAGGGTGGTCTTTTCCTGGACTAAATGGCTGGGTGCATTCCTTAATGCAGTTTCCCGTTCCTGCACCATGGGCAATAGTGTGGGTAGGAGGAGGATATAGGGATGAGTGGGCATCACTTGACAGATTGCATTTCACCAACTTCCAAGACCCAAAGCACTCCCCCACCCCCGAATTAAAATAGGAGGGTCACTTCGCTCTTAAAGAGCTTGCTACTAGAGCGTGTGAGAATGAGCCACTCTCCAAAGAGTCTGCCTCCTCTCCCTTAAGTTAGCATGGGTATGTCTGCAACAGAGGCAGCTCGAAGGAAGGGTGTACCTAGGGATTGGTTAAGTTGGCCCCCACCAATGGCACAGGCCCAGTGGGGCACAGAGATTGCACTTCTCCACTCTGGCTCAGGGTGGCCAGGAACCTGCCCACCCACAGGATCTGTGCAGTCAGGCAAGGCATGCAGGCTATTCTCAGTGCCTCAGTGGGGAAATCCAGACACTAGCATGCATGGGGGGAAGGGGGCTCCCCACTCAGCAGGTGGCACTGTTAGAAGCGTGAGCGAATTGGGGCTCAGAGGGGGGGAAAGACAGAGAGAGCCAGTGAGAGTTTCAGGAGGTGGAAAAAGGCAGGAGGGGAGAAAGGAGGCAGAAGGGAAGACTGCGAGCAGAGGGAGAGAGGCAGGAAAGCAGGCAGACAGATGGACCAACGGAGGAGGTGGAGGAGGAGGAGGAGGGAAGGCAGAGTAGAGCGGACCTGACCCCAATGGCTGCAGAGGAAGTCACTGGGCTTGTTTCAACCCCAGAAGCTGCCTTCTAGGATACCTCCTGAGGAGGCCTGCATAGAGCAGCAATTCTAAAGAAGTTTGTCAGGAAGCCTCCTTTGAGTGTGGGCAATAGTGCTGTATTTCTGAAGCAGAGATTATTCCATCCCATCCAAGACAGCAAGAGTGGGGAATCTCAGGCCCCGGGGCCAAATGCGGCCATCCAGGCCTCTCTATCTGGCTCTTTGAATTCTCCCCAGCCGTAGGCTGTTTCCCCAAACCCTTCACCAGCCTGGCTGGAATGTGTCCTTGAACTCTGATAGTGACTCTTGCTTGTCTGGATAGAGGATAAAGACAGGTGGGTGGGTGAGTGTGTGCAGGCACTGGTCTGCTATACAAAGCTAAGGTTTACATTCATTGCTCCACTCACTTTCCCCATTCCATTCCTCTTTTTCAAACCATCTGCAAAATTTTGCCCTTACAGTTGCCCTACAGTTGAAAACTAAATTGAAAGTGGGACCACAGGTGGCTGCCCCAATATCATCATGAGCACGTATCATCATGAATGCACAATAAAGAGGATATTGGATCTGGAGGGGCCCTTTTCTCTATTAAAATGAAAAGTGGGGTTAGGGGGGTTTGACAGTCCTGTGGGCTTTGCATTTGCCAGGAGAGGGCACAAAACGCACCCATTAGCGGGAAAGCCATTATGGTTTCTGTCATGCACTCTTCTCTCCACCAAAAATAATAATTTAATTTTTAAAAAATCATATTTTGGCAGGGGGTTGGACTCGATGGCCCTTGTGGTCTCTTCCAACTCTATGATTCTATGATATCAGCATTTTTAATGGGCCCTTCTCTGTTCATAACAACAGCAGCTCCTCTATGCTGCGAGGGTAGGCAAAGTGCTATTGTCATATCCATTTAGTTATTGAACTAACCCTCCCAGTTACTCCAAGCCACACAGGAGAACAGATCAGACTGTAGTGTTGGTTTCGTATCTTAATTGTTAATTTCCCCTGTGCAAGAACTGGCATGTTCAACACGTTTTGGGAATTCATTTGGCATTCAGTATTCTGGCACCCAGTGGGTTTTGCCTTCTGTATCTTCTTTTTTCCCTGCTCTCCTTCTGTTCGGAGGCATGTAAAATACCAGGAGGGATTAGCATGGTGGGGAACCTCCAGACCTGGGGCCTGAAAGGGTTTTGCAGGGCTGACAATCGGCTGTCAAACTTTGCTTGCCAAGAGGACAGAGGAGAGAAGGATTAGCAGGGCAAGGGAAGAGGGAGTTCCTGCATGGAAATTAAATGATGGATAAAGCTACCTGCTACTGCTCAGAGAGCACTTCTGCCCACCACTGCCAGATAAATCCACCAGGGTTCACTGCCAGGATTGGGCTCATCAGAACTCTTACCTAGAGCTGACCCTATAAACGTATGTACCGTAAATTGGGGGCACAGTCTGCTGCCAAAATGCCACTTCTTCCTCCCGCCCCCACCATACGCATGTTAATTTTATCATACACAAATATCTATAAACATATCTTGCCTGTTTATGCATATCTTTAATAACTCTGGCTCAGTGAAAGAATGGGCCAAAGGAATCACTCATCTAGTGTGATTGCTGTTTAAAGGGTTTTTCAGTGGTTAAAGTCCCTCTCTGACAACCAGTGTACCCAGGATGCACAACTCTATGAAATCTTGCAGTACTGTATATTTGAACCCTCCTCGATCCCTAACCTGGAGTGTGGCCCTTTCTGCATGTTATCTCTGTTAAATGAGCACTGGAGAAGCCAGTGTTTAGGACTTTGCCCACTACTGTCTCAGCAGTTTGCAGGGAATCAGGCAGAGATCCTCCCATGTTTTGTGGTATCACCTAAACATTGGGGAATCCAGACATGGCAGCTCACAAGCACCACTCTGCTTCTCTCTGGATTTCTAGTTCAGCCCAATGCCTTTTGGATGTTTTTTGAAACATCTGGATTTCTTTTCTCTTACAAGTATGCCAGAGAGAAAATGAGGCACAGCTGTTAAGTATGTGGGCACTGCCCCCCGTTATGCAATTGATCAAAGGTCGAGAAGGGATCCCACAGAGGCTTGCCTGTGTGTTTGAACAAGTGCTCAAACTAAGACCTGATTCTCCAAGCAGATTTCTTGCTCACATGAGCAGTCCTGACTTTAGTGAATGAACATAAAGTGTGATGGGTCTGGGGGGGGGGGGATGTCGTGAATATGACTGGCAGGCAATGGGTTTTCCCAGCTGCCTCAATAACAAACATTGCTGCTAGCCACATCCACAACCAGCAGGATTGTACATCAATGCTTGTGTAGGTTATGATGTGAACCATAATATGTTCATGTACAGTTGTCACATGGCTGCTTACCTCCCTCCCTCTCTGGATTCCGGTCCAAAATCTGCTAGTCAAGCGTTGCTGCTTCTCATGGGCTGCTGCTGGTGGAATATATTTTCCTTCAAAACCCACTGAAAGCATCATTGTTATCAATCATTAACAGCACCTATGCTGCCAGAAAGCTTTAACCTCTTGACTGCAGGGTTGCCCTGAAAGGCAAAGCAGACAGGCATGATTTTAGCCATGCCTACTTCACCTTTAAAAGAAATCCAGACCCTTGCAATTCTTTAGAACAAAGGTGATGCATACAAGCCCTCCTCTCTTCGTTTCAAGTTAAGGCATCACAACAGCAAGGCAACTATGAGCTGGTGCAAACCAGCTATGTAGCCCCCGTTGAGAAAGCTGTTCTCCAGATCACACACACAGTGGACCCATCTCCACTTAGAACCCACTCTTCCTTCAAAAGAGCCTTTCAATCCCACAACAACTTTGTAAAGTAGGCAGGTTTTTTTTCCAAAGCCACCCAGCTGCATAGCTGAGCAGGGATTTTAGCATGGCTGTCCCCCATGCAAGCCCAGCCCTTCAGCCACAGCACTCCACTGGCTCTGGAATTTGTCACATTCACCAAGTGCAGTTTGTCATGCCACACATCCTCACCCCCTGAGAAGGTTTCAATTGGCATGAAGCTTTCAGCTGGTGTGCAAAATCTATGGCTTGTGCTCTTGGCAAATGGCTCAGTTTACGCATTTGTCATGTGCATTGCGCAACCTGGGCAGGAGTCAAAAACAACAACACACTTAGCAACAGCTAGAGATAATCTAGCCTCAAGGCCACATCTGGGAATGCCTTGGGCTAACAGGCTGACATATCTCCTCTTTGCTCTCAAGATAGGAAGATGCCTTTGCCTAACTCTCACGGCCCATCTCCTACCCTGGAAAAATCATCTTCTAAAAGCACCATAAAGAATAACACATTTATTACTGAATAAACTTTTATGGACAGGAATCTACTTCATCAGATGCATGAATTTTTATCATCCATTTTGACAGATTTCTACTTCATACAGCTAAATCTGATGCCTTTTAAAGCAAAAACTTCCAGTGTGTTAGCTATATGAATGCTGTCTTCCATTAATTGCATTGAGCCATAAATCTATTTCCCTGAGTTTTCAACAACCAAAACTACAGCTGCAGATTAATTCCCAAAACTGCAGCTTTCTACTGTCAGCAAGGACCTTGGGTTGTTGCTGTTTTTTAATCTATGTGGGAAAGGCATGTCCATTCCCCCTCCCTCCCCAAATGCACAGAAATTTATTCCCAAAACAAGAAGGCGGTTGACCACAAGGCTGCTATAACCTAAACATATATAAATGTGGGGAGGCACAACAGCAAGCATCACTGGCACATCACATAATGTTCAGATTTTTATATAATCCATTTCACTTAACAAGCCATATATGGAAGTTTAGATGGACTCGTCGGAAAAGGTTGCGTGATAAATACGCCTTAGAAAAGCTTCAAACTGGAATATGGCATCTACCAGAGGTGGCCTGAAATAGCCCACAATCTTCATTAGGTTTGCGCGTGTATATTTGCAGTTCTGATGAGCAGGTTCTCAATGCTGATGCTGCTGGTTCGCCTGTCACTGAACACTGATATTGCTGCTTTGTATCAATTTTTTACCATGCTGTTAGCCAGCCTGAGGTCTCTACAGAGCCACATCCTAGAAGGAAGAAAACCAAATGAGGCTTGGTCAAAGGGGTCAGCCTCTTTTCTTTGGCCTTAGTCCCACCCCCGGCCGTCCATCCCTTGTCCTCCCTGGCTAAGGGTGGGTCAACGGCCAACCCAAGCAGGTGGGAGGTACCCGTCCAGGTGAGCTCCTGCTCAGTGCTGCAAACCCCGCCCACCTGTAGGGAAGGGAGGGCGGAAATTGGCAACACATAACTCGTAAATCAACCAATCAAACAGTTTTAACTTATTAGTCCAGCTTCAATGGTAGTCAAATTTAAATGAGTAACAGTCTGTGTTTATTACTGCAGTCACAGCGCTCTGAGAGGAGGGAAAACAAACAAGCCCCAGTGTTGCTCAATTGCAGGTTGCATGATTAATGCAAATGCAAGCCTTTCTAAAACACTGCCTATTGACTGGTAACCAGCGCTTGATTACCCAAAGTGTAAAATTGCTGCAGCAGATCAGCTGTCAAAGACCAATCAAGCCAAGCAATTACCTAAGAAAGAGAGGCAGGCATCAAAGCGATAGTCTGTCACTTACACAAATTGTGTCAACAACACTCCCTCAAATTCTGCCTGTACCAGTGGAATCAGCACTTCCATTGACTGAGGAAAGTGTTCCTTTCAGTTCAATTCCCACCTCTTCCAGAGCCAAATCTCATAAAGTCACAGTTACTTGTCTACAGAACTGGGTGAAAATAGGTGTGCTGAGTTTTTGAGTTATCCTAGTTTTGGAGTGATAGCTATCTCCGCCCACCGCCCCCTTGAGTATCAATTTCTCAGTTTGCTAAATATTTCACTGCAAAATATTGCAAAACTATTGCAAAACTTTGGCAGTGGTTTGGGGTGAATTGGACATATAATGCTGGAACCCCCAAATTGATGTATCAATTCCTCAGTTTGGGGGTGCTGCAGAACCTGGGGCTTCCACTCCAAACCCTGCAAAATGACTGCAAAACCCAAATTTCAGAGTTCATAGTTAATGAAGCTATCATAGAGATAATTAGGAAAGGATTAACTGCTGTCCCCCGGCACTCCCTGGCCCTAATCCCATTTGGAAGATCCTGTAACTACTACAAACTAAAGCAAAAAAAAGAAGACGGGAGATAGTCCGATAATGGATCTCACATCTTACTCTGCTTTGTCCTGTTAACAAGTCTCATAGGGAAGGATACATGAAGCTGCCATATAAGTTGGTTCATCTACCTTAGTATTGTCTAAGTGGCAGTAACTCTGCAAAGTTCAGACAAGGACTCTTTCTTTTTTAGCCTTTTCTGGGGACACAGGAACTGAACCTGGGGCATGCGCCTGTTAACCTTTATCTCAGAAGACAGTTCCCCATCTGTACACTGGGAATACAAAAACAATAAGTATTAGAAGTCACCCCAGAGTTGGCCCTACTAAACATCTTCCAGGATAATAATGCCCACTCACATCACAAAGAGCTCATAACCCACCTACTCTCAGCAGCCAGAAACATCATAGCCAGACACTGGAGAGACCTGTCAGGAGTCAGCATGGACCAATGGTACCAAATAGTATGGGAAACAGCCTTATTAGAAAAACTAACCAATAAACTGAAACTGATACGGGGACAAATAGAAGAAAATGCTACCCCAGTATGGATCCCCTTTATCACATACGCAGACCAACAAGACAACAAGAAGAATCCACCAACAGCATACGAATCAATCTGCCTAACCTGATTCAAAAACACCCACCCACCCCACTCACACATGAAAACAAAGTTCACCACAGTCAATCACAAACAAACTGATCTGTAGAAAATGTAACTTGAAAAAATAGACATTGCACATACTTTTGTAAACCAAGAAATCTTTAATAAAAAATATGTGTTTTTTAAAAAAAGCGAACAAAATATAGAAATAAAGAAAGCCTTTTGCCAATTTCAGTCAGTGTTTACATAACTAACAAAAACAACAACAATAGCAACAATTTTAGAAGACCTACCTCCTTTCCAGAAAAAAACTGTAAAGGTTTTCAGAATCCACTTAAGTTTTACTCAGGTGATTCAGCTGAAAACTGCATATACCTGAATTAGAACCCACAGCAGACAAAAACAACAACTGCAGGGGCTGGATAAACTTCAGATACCAAGAACGATCCTGTCTGAAACAGGATTGTAAAACCAAAGCCCTTTCACAAAAAAACAGCTTCAGAGTTTGTCAGTAAACACATTTTATAGGCCTCCCTGGTGATTGAGAAGAGGAAAGTCAGCTATAAAATTATTTATTTGGCCCTATTACCATAGCATCTAAGCATCTGCCCACTCACTCTGCTAAATATTTATTCTCACCACACCCCTACAAGGCAGGGCACTGTAGGAAAAGTGATCTGTGGAAGCAGAGTAACTTGGCCAAGATCTATGGAGTCTTGTATTGCTGTTCCATTTATTGTTTATTGTTTTTGAGAAAGAGATTGAAGTTATGATGCACTTTCTTTAGTTGCAGTGTATACAAATATTTTCCCTTCAGACTCCACTTCCTTTTTACCTGCACAAATGGAAGCAGCTGGTGAATTGCATGTGTCCCATGCAAACCCCTCCTAGCACCGCTCTTGCTAATGAACTCTTGTGTGTGACACGGTTATGCATCTGTTAGTAGGGACCGACAGAGATATTTCAATCATCATTCTAATGTATCTCCAGAAGAAGGCCGTTTCTGGCTCGAAACGCTTTGGACCCAAACCATCTTCAACATGAAACATAAAGACTTCCATATCTTTGTGGTTTAACACTTTTGTTTAATTTGCAACCATACAGAATGCAAGGCAGGTTGCCATAAACCTCTTGAAACACTGTCCCAGAGGTCACAGTATCAGTAAAAAGGGCCCAAGCTAAGTGGTACAGGATCTGCCTTGCACTCAGATGTACCCAAATTCAATCCCTGGCATCTTCAGGTAGGGCTGGGAAAGACCGTTAGTCTGAAATCCGAAGGAGCCACAGCAGAGAATTCTGAGCTGAGTACAGTGGTCACACTGGAAACTACTTCTGTTGTGGCATCATTATTATTTTATTATTTATTGAATTTATATACCTCGGGTTGTAACCCGGGTACCTCGGGTTACAAACACTTCAGGTTACAGACTCAGTTAACCCGGAAGTAATACCTCGGGTTAAGAACTTTGCCTCAGGATGAAAACAGAAATCACATGCAGACAGCAGTGGGAGGCCCCATTAGCTAAAGTGGTACCTCAGGTTAAGAACGGTTTCAGGTTAAGAACGGACCTCCAGAACAAATTAAGTTCGTAACCAGAGGTACCACTGTACCGCCCTATACCTGAAGGTTTCAGGGCAGTTCACAGAACAAAATCAGAATATAAAACCACCTTCAATGGTACACACATGCTCCCATCGCTAAGGCTACACACGTACTGTATGCAGAATGAGTAATTATACTCAAAATGGCATCCTCTCCTTGCATATCTCCCTTTAGGGAGCACATCTCAGGGCAATGCTAGGTCACAAACTAAAAAGTGCTCAGTGGTACACTGCTTGTTTTCATTGGAAACTGCAATATGGCAAACCTGACCACGGCTTTTGGGCACCTAGTCAACATTTTAACTAACCGGAAATGCCTGGAGTCCCCAAAAGGCTTCCGATAAGCTGCCATTCGCAACAGAGGCTGATCATACAACCATAGCGTTTGGAAGGGACCCGAAGGGTCATCTAGTCCAACCCCCAGGGAATGCAGGCATAACCAGCAGAAGTGTTAAATGAATGGGAGTGGCAGGGCTTGGACTCAAGAGAGCTTCAGGTCGGTGTTCAGGAAGACCGATGCAGACAAGTGTAATGATTGCAAGATAAAGCACGGGGCAGAATTGAAATCAAGGAGCTGCTTTGAAGGCTATGGGGATGGAAAAACAGTGTGTGCATACATGTGCATACAGGTCTCCTAAGTCCAGAAGAAGAAAAATGAGACTGTGGACAGCTACAGAAACAAGAAACAACTACAGAAAACTTGAGATGACAGCAGCAGAAATCACAAGACCAGGCTGAGATGCATCAGCAGAGTAAAGAAGAAGGGAGGAGCCCCGGCTTGAACTAACGGGGCAAGTTGCCACAACGGAATCAAAGTGTCCCACCAGAAGTGTGTGGGCGGGCTTTGCATGCAATTTTCAGCCGGCCTGCCAGTCCTCATTTGGAGAAACAAGCTTCCAAAAAAGTTCTTAAAGGCATCAAAGGAGAGTATGGCAGGAGGAGGAGGAGAAGCAGCAGCAGCTGGATGCTCTCACCCTCCTCCCTGCCACGGACCCAAACGCTGCGTCTCTTCTGGCTTCAGCCCTACGTGCCCTTGAGCTGGAATCAAAGCAGCATCCCATAAATCCCGCTTCTATGTGTCAGATCAGCTCCTGGCCCACAGCCCAGCCATAAGCCCCACCGCCCAGGAGGCCAGAGGACAAAGAGAGGCTAAAACTTTGTAAACACTGCCAGAAGGACAGGGAAAGTTTCCCCAAATCTCTGGACAGAGGGAGACTGCACCAATGCAGACAGAATTCATGCTCAGGGATGTAATACTGTAGTATGATACAGTAACGTTTCAGCATTATAGAGTGCATTTAAGAGTGCAGAACACCTCACACTCTATTACCTCAGTAATCCTACAACCCTGTGAGGTAGACAAGTATTATTGCCCACACATGAGAGATGAGGTTAGATAGGTGGTGGGGCTTGCCCAAATCCATTCAGTGAGTTTCCAGAAGTAAAAGTGCACATCACCAACTCACAGATCATGCTCTTAACTACTATGTTGCTTCAACTCTATAGAGGACCTTCCTGATCTTGTATTGCAATGGTGTTGCAGAGGAAAATGTCTAACCTACTTGTCTTTTCCAGTGGGTGTTCTCATGGAAAATCTGGAGTATGATCAGTGCTATTTTTCTAGAAAAAGAGGTGCCAGAACTCCCCATGAACGCCTCCCTTGTTCTCTTATAATGGCAATGGCGTCCCCCTGAAAGGTGCTGGAATTGAGTTACGGCAAGTTCCCCCTGAAAAAAAGCCCTGGGCATGATTAATAGGATCTAAAAGTCAGTGGATATGAAACCAATAGATCTATACATAAACATGAAAATTTACTTTGCACAGGAATTCAGGTGCTATCAATGTCCAACAGTCCCAGGTATCTTTGCTCCGTGACACGAGGTAACATGTTTGCAGGTGCTGAGAGACACTGAAAGCACTTCCGCATCAAAGTGGGTTTTTTCCCCAAGTCATACATATACCAGTTCAATGCACCCAAGGGCAGTAAGCATCATGATACTGCTGTCTTTCCAGATTCTCTGCCTGTTGTCCACACTCCAGAGTGGAAACACTGAAAAATGAAGGTGGCATTTTAGCAATGAGAAATCCTGCAGTCGGTCATGCCTTGTTTTCCCAGAGAGTGCTTCCTGCACTTGGAGATATTCACTGAAGTGTAAACCTGGATTGTGGGAAACTTCCTGTGCGGCCCCACCCTGAAACACCTAGCCAAGATCACACACTGTTAAGAGCAGAGAACAAAGCCAGATCTTCCAGCTCCAGGATAAGGACTAATCTGTTCATACTATCACCTCCCGATGATCAGTTGAAATTTGTGGCATGAGCAGTCAGTTCACTTGACAGAAAAACAACGAAAGGACAAAGTCAGATGGCGCAAGAAGAAGAAGAAAGGGTTCATTAAACATTGTATTTATTTGTTAGCGCTGACTGCAAGAAACTGGCTCTGCTCATTATTTGTGTCTCTGTTGAGTGATGCAGCCATCCTTTGAGGTGTAGTTCATTGGACAACTAGTCTAACCCTTAATTTCACAAACTAAGGCCCCTTTTAGAAGTACTTCAAACCCTTTCACCAGTGCTCAGTGTAGAAAGATAAAATCTGTTGCACACTGACCCTCATGCAGACTTAGCCCTCAAGCAGGTTTATGCCTTTCATTACAGGCTTAGAGTGGCTTAGGAAGGAAAAGTCCTATTAGATCACAGAGTACTCTACTCATATTATCTATCATTGTTCTTAGTGGGTGTAACAGTTACTATGTTTGGATTGGAGTGTCCCTGACTTTGTTTGCAAGTGAAGCAAATCTTCAAATTCAAGACAGTCCTACCAAAACAAACAAACATAGCTTCCTGGCTTATTTTTTTATTGTTTTAAACTATGTTTATTTTCATTGTATTGCGTTCTTTGTACACTGCTTATAGACAATTGTAGTTAAGAGATATATAAATTGTCTAAGTAAATAAATAAACCTGAAGCCCTAAAACTTACATAATGAATAAGCTGCACTTTTTTAAAGTACCATAGCAGTGTTTTATGGAAGAGAAATACATAGTGAAACAAGATGGATAGCTGCACCTCTTATAATTCCCTCTTTTATACAACTGTCCTTTTTTCCACCTAGCCACCCTATCATATGCGGTAGGGATGCAAGGTTATTAAAGGCTTCTGGGAAATGATATATAATGAATTGAAGAAAATATTTAAACTAACCTTTGCAAAGAAACCAGAAGCTTTTCTACTAGGTATAATAGGAACAGTAATTCCCAAAAAACAGAAGAAATTATTTATGTAGCCCAAAGATGGAAAGAAGAACAGTTGCCAACAACAGAAGAATGGCAAATAAAACTTATGGACTATGCAGAAATGGCAAAACTGATGGCAAAACTCAAGAGACTTTGACAATGAGAAGTTTAAAAAAGAATGGGAGAAAATTATTGTGTATGTGCAGAAATACTGTAAACGAGTTGGTACATTGGCAGGTTTAGATTAAGCACTTGTAAGAAGTAAAGTATTAGAGAATGTAAAGGTATAACAAGTGGATAAAAATGATAACAAAATGCAGAGAATGATGTAAGATGTAAAGAACCAGTAGAAGGCGGTGGAAGGAGTATTGAGGTTTAAAGAACCTCAAAAGAAAGTTTGTAAAATAGTAGGATTTTTTATTAGAAGCATTAATGTTAGATGGTGGTTTGAATTTTATATCCTTATTTTATAGATTTTTTGGGGGGGATTAAGAATTTATTTACAAAAACAGAGAAAAATTCTTTTTTAGCTACAGCATCAGCAGGTCAGGAAGAGGAACGCGACCTGCATTTTGGGAGTCTTGAACCTTTTCACTTTTTGTAAACATTGTAGCACAGAGTTATTGTGCTCCAGCTGTCATGGGACCGAGTCCCCTTGCAATAATAATAATAATAGTCATAAACATTTCTTTTTTATTTTTAATGAGCTCCAGCCTACCAAACCTTATGCTACAATAAATCTGTCAATGGTAAAGGTCCTACAGAGCCTACAAAAATCTTTTGTTTCAGGGTCTCCCGAAGTGTCCTCAAGTCTTTAAGAAGTGGCCAGCAACCCAGATACTTTGTTGGTTTTACCTGGCTGGATTTTTCTTAGAAGTAGCTTACAGATTTACAATCAATAGGACATCTTCCCTGTTTGACGCATCCCTAAAGGACATTTGAGAAACACTCGTCTGTGCAATATTGTGAATGAAAAGCACAACTTCCAGTTCTGTTTCTGGCCTGGGCCTGTCTTATCTATGCAAGGGACAGGCAATGTGGTGTCCCCACCAGATGTTGCTGGACTCCAACTCCCATCATGGCTGGCCATTGGCCACACCAGCTGGGGCTGATGGGAGTTGGAGTCCAGCATCATCTGGAGACTAACCCAGATCATCTATGCAAGAAAAATTAATGTGTGGCGCGTTTTAAAACATCCCTTTGTTACTCACTGCAAGGAGCTTCCAAAAGGCATGAATCAATGAGGCAGGTGCCCATAACAGGAGAGCTATGGCTTCTATGGGTGTTATGTAATTGGCATGACCCTAAATTACACCATCACATCTTGTGGTTTCAGTCTATGGAGACAGGAGAGAGACAGAGACCCACCACATTCTTGACTAGCTTGGCATCTGTTTCATCAATTCAACTATCTGTGCAACCTCCTTACTGACAATATTGTAATTCGCCTAGAACAACTTCTCCAAGCCTGTTGCCCTCGACATGTTGCTGCTGAATGACTCTCATCATCCTGACCCACTGGCCATGTTAGCTAGGGCTAGTGGGAGTTGGGGATCTGATATTGGCACTAGTATACAAAGGTTTATCAGCTTGGGACCAGGATACCAAAAAGGTAATCTTACTCTTTATATACTGCCTCCCACAGATACCAACACATCAGAAGACCCACTCTGTACCCGGTAGGAATGAGACCCTTTGAAACACTCCCCCATTCCATATCAGACAGGTGCCATCTCTGTTATATTTTCAGTACCTGTGGAAGGTCTTTCTCTTCCAACAAGCCTTTTAAATGGAGATTTTATTTCACCCCTGTCCATATCTCCACTGAACTGGAAATTGTATTTATATATGTTTCTGTTGCTGGTGTTTCTGCTGTTAATCACTTGGGGATGTTTCATGGGAAGCAATTCATACATGAAATAATAAAGATCAAATACAATTGTAGTTCATGCCCTGTCTCTCACAGGTTTTACAAACGGGGATTCCACATGGATGGCTTTCAGTGCTTGTTTTCACATGCACGCAATAATTATTATCTGTACATGTCATGGACAGCTGCTTTTGAGTGCATGACTCCAATACAGAAATATTGTATGGGATCGACTGGTTCTATAAAAGAAAGTAACAGCAGAGGCACATAGGATAGATGGATAGATTCAGGTATTGTGAGAAATTATAGATGTTATCTTGCACGTAGGCAGATCTTTCTCCATAGCAAGTAGTCATAATTTGCCTTAAAACAAAAACAAAAGCAGGCCCATGTAAATTACACAACACCCATAAAAGCCACAGTTCAAACCAAATTCTCAGACTTCTTTTAATTCCAAGCATATGCCTTGAGACCTGGGGGTTCAAGCAAAAATGCCCAAAGAAGATCCCAAAGAAGCTTCAAGTCTGCCCACCACTGTTCTAGGGGATATTGATTTTCCAAAGAGGACAACCTCTCTTGCTGAGCATTTCACTGTGCTGAGGTGGCCAGGTACCCTATATTACAGAGAATATCCCTCTGTTTGGAAGGGCAGTCTAAGGACAGTCCTCTGTTTGAAAGCATCCTGTTAGTGCAAGAACTTCTGCCTGTGCAGCAGGATGACTCTTCCCACATCTCCTTGCATCTTGCCTCCCTCAAGTATTTCTGCCCCAGAGAGCTGGGAGGAAACCCCAAAGAGTGGGGGGGGGGGGAAGAACACAGGAAAAGGGCAAGGAAGCCCCATGGCACAGGTGGAGCTGCTTGTGCTATCAGCTTCATTGCATACAACCCCACATTTGGTTTAAAACTAAAGAAGCTTAAGAAGAAGAACAGAGGTCTGGATGTTGCCCATCAACAGTGAACACCTGGAGAACAGACTGAGCAACCAAACAGGACACCATCTTCCCAATTGTTTACAGTATTTGTATTCCACCTTTCCTCTAAAAAGCTCGAGATGGCTAACAACAGAGGTAAAAACCATGAATGAACACAATAGGGAGATTGATTGTATTCCTATCTAAATTATAGTAAATTATGTATAGCTTAATACCAAATGTAGGCAAATATTATGCAGATCTGTGACCTCTGGTTTTCCCCAGGTGATGCATTCCTTCTTTAGCCACCACCCTCAAATGTGCACATACAATTTTGGTCTTATTTTAAGGCAGATTACTAATAAGACCCTTAATGAATAAAGCTGCCCCGTAACATAGCAAAGCATGTATCATTATAGGGTTGGATCTATAATTAGTCATACTTAGCAGTAGACCTAGTGGCTTTAGTTGATATAAGAGTAGATTTCTTTCATGTTTTCAAACCACAGAAGCAGGAAGAGTCTGTGAGCAAGGCAGTAGAAGGTGATAATTATTCTGGATTAGTTAATTCCTGACTGCAATTCTGGGTGTACACCCCATTGAACAGAGGGGCCTGGTCTGCAGGTAAAAGAAACTTTATTGAAAAGCAAGCTATAGTTAAATGTGAATGTACAGTGTGCCAGTGGCTGCTGCAGAAAAGTTCTCGCTTCACTCCTCATGTGCCATGCTGTCGGCAAACAGCCCAGAGTCTGGCTTGTCAGGATGTCTGGACCCTGGCACATGGTTTGTTTCTCTAAAACAAAAACAAAAAAACCCCATGAGCAGAAAGCCAAGAACAAACCTTGGTTACAGCTCCTGGTTTGTTTGGAGATAAATAAGCCATAAGCCCAGGCTTAGACATCACAACCGGCCAGGCGCAGACTTGTTTCTCAGCAGTGTAGCAGCAGTGGGAAGGACCAGTGCAAGAACTTTCAGTGACAATAACTCACTGCTTGTTCACGTTAAGCCCCAGTTGGTTTTCAACAAGGGTTAGAGGCTCAATATCCATAAGGGACAGCTGCCTATCCCTGCATTGCAGGGGGTTGGACTAGATGGTCCTCAGGGTCCCTTCCAGCTCTATGATAATAGAAGAACATGAAAACCCTGGGACTGATACCAAAATGCACAGGGATAGACCTGTGTTTTGTCAAGAGTACAAGAGTGTAATCTTGCGCACAAGGCAAGGAAGGAAGTAAAACTGCACCCCACTTTTACAGAAGGAATTACGCTTCTGGGCTGGCTGGTACTGAGCAGCACCAGAATGACCCGGAGGAGACAGCTGGACTGTGAAATCCCTTCCCCAGAAGCTGCCTGTCTCCTTCCTCAACACAGGAGCAAAGAGTGTTTAAGAGAACTGTGGTTGATTCTCTGCGGCTGCTGGGTTTGTTTTAATTACGAAGAATCAAAGCTCCTCTGCTCTCTTCCTGCTGCAAAGCCCAGCCCTTTACATTCCATCGCCTGCTGTAAGGGCTGTGTCCAGGCGCTGACCTCCACAGCAGTGAGTGTTATGTGCATTGCTGAAATATCCTGGCTTCTCTTTTCCCTTCCCTTCTCCTCCTCCTCCCTCCAATCCAGCTTCCCTGCTGCCAAGGAGAATGCCTTGAGCATGTCTGGCTTGCTCGCATCAGACAAGTAGCTAACAACTCCCTCTGTGAATGGGATCTGACTGTTCCTTTTGCAACAGGGCCTACTTGGTTACCAAATGAAAGTGTAAGGAAGGAGAGGAAAGGTCTCTTCAAGCCCACTATAACATGGTTTTAACTGTTGACCTGCAGACAGTTTCAACATATGACATATACATGAAAAATTTGACATGCGCACCTTAAACATGCAGTGCATAGACTTGACCTCTCCATGTTATATGCCAGAGCATTCACTCAGGAAATGGGAGTTATTGGCCACAGCTCCCTAACTCTGAGAAAAAGCAGTTTTGCTGCAACTTAATGTGTGAAGCAGCCCACAGATCCATCCTACACCTCTCCAGATTGTTTCTCAAATCATATCTACAAATATCTGATTTGCTGCTAATGCAGGATAGAAGTGGAGATGCTAAACAATGTTCAAGTTTTACATTTGAATGACAGATCAGGGAAATGCCAGTGCCAATTTTCATGCCCTTTGTGAAAATTATTATTATTATTTCATTTATGAATCACTTCCCCTGAGGCATCCTGAAGTGATTTACAGTACAACACAAATCCAAATGGCTCCAGCATTGGTGTTAACACTTGCAAATGTTCCATAGATTGAATGCAGAGCAGCATTCCATGCAAAACAAGTGGATTACAAGAGCACACACATATAAATGACTAGTTGGAACCTAGTTTCATTTAAAACAACAGTATATCGTCAAGTCCATTTTATAGATGAGATCATAGAGGCAGCTGCTGCTACAACACTATTAAAGTTGGACGGACTCTGATAGAATCTCAGTTACTAGGTCTTGTGGCACATTCTGAGTGCAGAGGGTGTGGGGTAGCTTGCAAATTGCCTCACATACATGCCTTAGAAGTAAAAGGCCCAGGGTCACTCATTCAGGAGGCCTGCTTTTGAGATTGTATGTATCGGTACTGCCCCATCTGCTCATCGCTAAATAGCTTGGCTAACATTTTAATGAATTCTGTTGCAATCAAATGCTGGAGGCTGTTGAAGTGCGAGGGAATTATACAGTGCTTTGCCCATTTAAATGGCAAGAATAAGATGTATCTTCCACTTTGAAGCTATTCAGGTGTGTTTAAAAATAGACACCAAGTAGAACAATAAAACAACAACAACAACAACAATCCTTTGGTCCCCACCCTGCACTCAGCTGTCACCTGTGGCTCTTAGAAGCTGTCAGCATGTGACAGCAGCTACACCCCAGGAATGGCTTTGACTGGCTGCCTAACCAGGTGAAGGTAACTGGTGGATCTCAAACCCTCAGTGAGTTAGGGACTTCTGTATGCAAAGACAGGCTCTGACAGATTGAGCAGATGAGAGCAATAGTGGCGCCCAACAGTCAATAAGGCGGTTTCTGCCTGTGTGGTAGAGGAAAGTGAGGGGGCCTGGATTGGTGGCCTGTCTAGAAGAAGAAAAACTCTGGTTCTAGACCTCTGCTGGCTTGTGGGATATCTTTGCGAAAAGAAAAGGCTAAGGAGTAAGGCCTACACAAATAAGGAAATGGAGTTCCTAAGATGGTTGGATGAAGCCTTGTACAGTGGTACCTTGGGTTACATACGCTTCAGGTTACAGACTCCACTAACCCAGAAATAGTACCTCGGGTTAAGAACTTTGCTTCAGGATGAAAACAGAAATCGTGCAGCGGTGGCGCAGCGGCAGCAGGAGGCCCCATTAGCTAAAGTGCTTCAGGGTAAGAACAGTTTCAGCTTAAGAACAGACCTCCAGAACGAATTAAGTTCTTAACCCGAGGTACCACTGTACGCCTCTTTCCAGCAACTCGTGCAGCCAAACTGGCGCCCAACATATTGTCTGCTTTCCTTTGGACCACAACAGTGAGGCTGAGAGGAGGACCTTGTTGTCTGGGCAGCCCAGGACCTCCATACATACTGCCCAGACTTGCACCCCAGGAAGATCACTTCAGTGCTGCGAATGCAGTGGTTTGACTTCATCCACAGAGGCGCACTCTGTTGTCTCGAGAGACAGATGGATGCCAACAAGAACAACAGATCTGAATGATGGCTAAATCTGTTTGCTACCCAACTCCACCCTACTGGAAAATTCAGTTCCATCTTGCACTAGGTACTTTCCTTTAAACAAGGTTTTGCACTTTAGTGACACTGTTTCAGGCTATCTTTCTTTGGCTCCAGTTAAGTGTTCCTAAGGCAACTGACCTTCAACCTGCTTACCTCCCAGGAACATTCCTTGCTTATTTCATCATCTCCTGTATATTTGCCAGCTGAAAGGTAAAGTCTGCCTGCCACCCTTTCACGGACAGTGTTAAACATGCAATACACCTTATTAAACAGGAAATCTCTCCCATCTTCTGAGTTTGCCCCACAGAGAAACTTACGGTCTTCGAATAAAAACATCTTGAAGGTCCCAGGCCACAGAGAAGTTAGGCTGGCCTCAACTAGAGCCAGGGCTTTTTCGGCCGTGGCTCCGATCTGGTGGAACACACTGTCACAAGAGACCAGGGCCCTGCGGGACTTGACATCTTTCTGCAGGGCCTGCAAGACAGAGCTGTTCCACCAGGCCTTTGGCCAGGGCACAGCCTGACTCCCTCCCTCGGCAATCTTCGCGGAGCTCTGGCCCAATGGTTGCCAGTGGCTTGAATTAATTAATTTTATAACGAATGATTTTAGACTGTTGTTTATGCTGTACTTTTGTACTGTTTTATTGTTGTTAGCCGCCCTGAGCCCGGCTTTGGCTGGGGAGGGCGGGATATAAATAAAATTTATTATTATTATTATTATTATTTGGGGAAACCTGGGCTCACAATGTGCAATTTAAACCTTAGCCAGATCCTTGGCACCTTGCCTCCCAATCCAAAGAGCTGTGATCCCCAAGCAAGTGTGGCTCAGGGTGTAACAGTCCTTGGCAGGATGCTCAGTTTGTGGCCCAGCCTGAGGCTTTGCTCTCCAGTCAACACACTCCATAGTGAAAAGCTAGTTAAAATAAGGTCCTATAAAAATATAAATATATATTTTATCCATTTATAATATTTATTCCAGCTTTGTAATAGCAAAATAGTTGGCTTATATAAAATCTTCAAACATCAACTTTAAATATTGATGTTTTCAACACCGTTAGAACATGTATATTGTTTACTAAGTTTAGTAAATGATAAAATACTTATGATATATATTTATATATTTATCATATATATTTTTATATATATGGAATTGAGCAACCAAAGGTGGGTGTGCAAATCAACCAAACCTGGAATAAACAAAAATGCAATTAAAAAAATATAAAGAAAGAGGAAAAGGGCAATAATTTTCTTTGAATGAAAGTCACAAAAACCACCCATTTTCATAAAGCAGAATCAACTGGGGGTGGGGATGAGGCAGAGATGTTGAGATGTAGTGGCTCTTCTGGGAAAGGTAGTGCCAGGCGGCCAATCAATAAAAGCCAGGCTAATACTATGAAGAAGCTGGCTGATAAACAATAAAGCAGACTGTAGTTGTTTGGAAGGCACAATGAGAGAGCAAAATTTTGAAAACCAAACCATCTACCAAACATCACCTCTGATATCCCACCAGCCACAAGCAGGACAGGAGCACCTGAGTCTTTGCTAGCATTTGTGCTATACCAGCTTTTTCACTGAAAGCATTAGCATCAGAATATCCTTGCGATGGCTTGCTTTGAAAGCTGGGGTAAGTTCAAAAGGCAGAGAAACTGTCAAAACAAGGCATTTGCACTGCAAAGGTGCCACAAGTATTGATGCATTGGCATCTGTAGAGCAAGGGCAAGAGTTTCTTCCCAGTGCCATAGAAGCATGATAAGGACAGGGACATTGCAGAATTTAAGACGTAAACAGATTGCTGTACTGTTTTAACATTGATTGGGAGCCACCCAGAGTGGCTGGGGAAACTCAGCCAGATGGGCGGGGTATAAATAATAAATTATTATTATTATTATTACTGCAACAGATTCCATATTAAAGCACCAGAGATAACTAGAACTAAGGCTTTCCTTCTTCCACTTCCCTTCTCAGACAGAATGGGAAGTGTCAACCCTGGAGATTTAGGCAAAGTTAATACAGCAGATTTTAAATTTCCCAGGAGAGCTGTTTCTTATAGCAACTAGCAGGATTTTACTGCTCTTTGTCAGCTCTTTTATTAGCATCCTGCTAGCTCTCTGACTAAATACCCCAGAACCTGCATAGGTGATTCCACCTTTTCCTGAAAAGATGGGGACATCCTCAATAAAGGGAGGAGAGAAGGAAGTTTTGCAATGTTCGCAGCTAAGCTGCTGATCTCGGCCTTTTGTAGCACATTCACACTTCAAACAGCTGCTGGACATTTCACTGTCCTTGCTTTTACTTCATTTTGTCCTTGGGGAAGCTAAATCCTATGCAAATTCCAAGAAGGAAGATAAAGCGGTTCCTCTGAAAACCAGGGCCGGAAGCGCCAAACTGTAGCATCGTTTGTTGCAGTGCAGCTGTGGAGGAGCAAAAAGTCTTGAAGCCATTTTATGCCAAGTATTGAATCTCATCTCTCTGCACAGCTTTCTATGCTCAGAAGGAGAAAGGATGAGAGTTGGGTTTGGAAGCTAGCTAGAGGCCTGGGATAGGAGTTCTGAGCATTTGTCCGGTCCCAGTCCAGTTTAAAGATAAGGAACTGTAGGAAGGGAGAGCTGCCCATCCACAGTTAGCAGCTGGAGAGCAGACTAGGCAAGCACACACATCACTTGGGCACAGTCTTCCCCACTAGGGTGAGGTGTATTATGCTTTTTAGCTACATTGCAGTCATTTATTTCTAAATTAGCAGGTGCACATCTGTATCCTCTTTTTACATGTCAACTTCCCTAGTGATGCATAAGCCTCTCTGGATGAACCCAAACCCAAACGCAAACATATTCACAAAGTATCCTATTGCTTTGTGCCAAAAGATTGCCACTTCTTCCAGCAGGTTTTAGATTATGGCTGGTTGTAGCTGTATTTTTCTAATGCTTAGATAATCTCTAGAAAAGCATCCCAGATTACTCTGCTTGTCAGCTGTTTTACTACCCAACACAGGCAACAACATGCTTGCAGATTCCATGCATACTGAACTCATCAATCATGCCGTTGCACAGAGCTTTCTACCTGTCAACAACAGTATCAGGCAGGAGTAAACAAATGGTTTATGCTGCTTGTATAAACCCCAGTGCACTTTTGCCTTCAGCTTGGTAGAGAAGCCTTTCCCAACCTAGTGCCCCCCAGATGTTTTTGACTATAACTCTGATCATCACTGACCACTGGCCAGCCTGGCTGGGGCAGATGGGAGCTGAAATCCAAAACGTCTGGAGAGCACCAGATTGGGGAAGGCTGGTGTAAAGTCTCAAAGACATGTATTAGCAGTAGTCCCCTGCCCATCTGACTAGGTTGCCCCAGCCACTCTGGGTGGCTATATCCTCTGGGTGGTATGTATCCTCAACACTGTGATCCTAACATCTCCTATGAGTTTAAGGCTGAATCATATGACAACTTCACAGGTTGATGCCATGACTGAAGCTACCTTGAGTGGACTATTAATTTTAACTAGTTCGTTGGGCCAGTTAATCCTGTGAGGGCACTGACAGGTGTTTATAGTATGGCAACATGGGCGAGTTTCATTGCCAATAGGGCAATCCCATTGCTGGCAGGTTAAAAAAAACAGCCATATGAATCAGTCTTTAAATTGGCAAATGCAAGTGAGAAAATTGGCACTCTCTCCTTCCTGCTGCCATCCGAAAACCACATGAACAAGCACATTCAAAAATTTTCCTGGTTCAACTTATGGATGCTTTGTAGCAGTCATACACAGATATGCACAAAGGATCCCTTTTATATATCCGGTCTTAGTTAACAGCATAACTTAGGTAAACTTGGTTCACATTGGCTGGTGAAGTACTGTTCTTGAATGCTGCAGGGTCTGACTCTGCTTATTAAAGCCCCTTACCCCTTTGCTGTGGAAGCAGAAGACCCCCAACTCAACATTCAGAGTACACTTTTACTGTTGATTTGAGAAAGCTGAATTCCAGGAGTTCCTTTCACTTATAAAGATATAAAAGTCACATGACTCAAAACCTGGCTATATTTACAACTAAGTCTCAAATGCTCCCATTGACTATAATCCTGCTCTAAAGCGGTTCAAGCATCTCCTTCATCAAATTGGGAATTTTACTGCCCCTAGATGGGGCATTTGTAAAAAGGCAAGGACATCACACCCAAACTCTACGATCTGATGTAAAAAGTTCCAAAACGGATTTCTGCTGTCTGAATGGTTTAAGGAAAAAACACGTTCCTCAAAAACTTTCAAGATCCCAACATGGTTTTGGCCATATAGTCCTTCCCTTATAAGAGAAATGACCAGATTAGCAACGGTGCCTTTGGCCAGTGTGCCCAAGGTCTTGGGAGTGCATAGTGTGTTTCTTTTATTTCCCCCTCTTGAATAGTAGATCCTTACAGCAAGGGCAAGGAAACCTGGCCTTGGGGGAACCAAACATGGCCCGGCAGGCATCTCTTTCTGATCCTTAGGACTCTTCCCCAAACATCCTCCTTCCCCGGCCCTCCACCGTGACCTCCTGGAGCACAAGATGGACTGTGCCATTGAATTATGATCACGCCGCTTGTTTGGCTGGATGGGGCATAGAGAGGGGTCTGTGAGTGTGTATACAAACTAGTCCACCTGTACAAAAGGTAGGCTAATTTTCTATACTATACTATACTATACTATACTATACTATACTATACTATACACAAAACCATTTCTCTCTTTGGCCTGAAAAATATGTGCCCCACCCTTGCCCTATAGCAGATGGAATCCCCTTCATTTTCAGAAAGCATTTTGTTATGTAGCCTGGGAACTGCTGTTCAAGGAGCGCAACTCTAAAATTCATTTGGGTGCACCAGACTGCCATAGTCAGTGAGTGCACTGAGAGAAAAATATACACAGGCCCTCTCTTTGACTTTTCTGACAAAAAGTTATTCATGTCGATTCTGAGGGAATCAATGATTTATCATTATTCTATTTTAAAGAAGAAGAAGAAGCAGCCACCCAACAAAGAAGGCTGGCTACAACCCTGGTTCATGAAACCGGTTGGGTGGTTACTTAGTTAAAAAAAAAAAAAAAGTACAGCCCACTCCCACTTTATTCCCAGTGTTTCCATGAAAACAGAAGTGACTCTTTTTGCAAAGCTTGTACAGGAGGTGAGGAAGACCACCACTGAGTAAACAGATTCTGCCCCTAAGAAGCAATAACAGCATACTCTCCAACATGTTGTGTCCCAAAATAGGAATGCGAGATCTCGCTCGATTTCACAACCAAAATGGCAGCCATGCTCTCACAAGGGGAAAACGGGATGTCCTGTTTTTTCCAGGACACTTGCAGGGTATGTAACCAGAAAAATATACTTCCACTGTCAGGTTCCCTGTCATTTCCTTGGCCTTCCCTTCCACTCACTTCCCTCTTCAATGGTGCTATTGACAGTCCATCTCACTCAAGTGTTATCCTAAGCATCCTTAAACTAAATCATGCACACACCATGCCAGAAACATACACATGTTCATAAACCAGGATTTTAAAAACAAAACAAAAAATTCCAAACACATTTAATCTCTAATTTCCCAACAACAGACATTTAAGAAGCTGCATTGCTCATTTTGGTTAGCACCAAGGTGGTCTGAATCATTAATGCAAAAAAGCAATTAAAAAAATGAATGGGAATAAATGTGCATTATCTTACCGAGTCCAGCGTTTACATAGCTGCAACTTCAGATCTAGTTGCAAATGTGCGCATTAACATTAATGAGCATACAAATACCCCTTAGAAACCAAACACAGAGCTAACTATATTTATCTAGGCCTGTACTTTGCATAAACAGAGCTACATCTCTGCAGCGACACCGGAGATGCTGACATCTGCAGCAAAGATGAGGATGGAACCCCCTGACAGGCTGCAGCCAGAATGTCTCCATCCCAGATCGTGGCTTAATTGAGCCAGTTCCCTTTAATTTCTGCAAGCAGCAGAAAAACAGGTGCAGTAACCATGTTAAGAAGCATCATCATCATTTCGCAAGCCTGAAATGATCTTGAGATAATGAGACACGCGCACTCCCAACTGGTCATTAAACACCCTTTTATGCCCCCAAGGGCTTTTGAAGTTCTGGGGCTGAAGCCTGTCATTAAGATGCAACTCAGCAATTTTGTCCACACCTTGGCCAGGAGAAGTCAGCCCAAGATTACAAAAACTGTTTGCCAAGCTCAGTTTTACTGCTTTCACCACCTAGATATTCTTTGGGATTGAAGGAGAACTGAGGCCATTAAGAGTTTACCTGAGAAATGGTAATGCGATCCTCACAGAGTCCACAATTTCATCAGGATAAAGGACAATGCAATCCTAGGCAGCTTTTGCTTGCATGGTGCACATGCTATATCTAGAACCCTTCTCTGGAAAATACGTGCAGAAGTCTTTCATAGAATCATAGAATCATAGAATCATAGAGTTGGAAGAGACCACAAGGGCCATCGAGTTCAACCCCCTGCCAAGCAGGAAACACCATCAGAGCACTCCTGACATATGGTTGTCAAGCCTCTGCTTAAAGACCTCCAAAGAAGGAGACTCCACCACACTCCTTGGCAGCAAATTCCACTTTCAATACTACTATGGGATTCTTTGCGATTGCATTACTTGATTCGCGACGGGGCAGCCAGTGTGGTCTAGGGATTTGAGTCTTGTACTACAACTACAACTACAACTACAACTACAACTACAACTACAACTAGCTTGACTCTGATTCAAAAGCAAGCAAGGATAATTTAACCATACCAGAACTCCTAAATCGGTACTACTTGCTCAGTGAGTGATACAGTAATCCCTTACTATGGGTGCATTTTCCTTATTTTAACACTGGAAGGAGTAACAAGCAAGCCTAAGAGCAGGAAATGTGATCAAAATGTCGCCACGATAAACAAGAGGAAACGTGTGGCAAGAGACGTCTATTTGTATCTCAACCAAGCAGGCATTTCTACAGCCATGTTGCAGTTATTTCCAAACCTGCTTTGAAGATTGCCAGACAGTGCAAGACTGAGTAATAACAGTAATCATCAGCTTTAATTAGTGGCCCTTCTGATATCCTTGGGGCACTGCCCCTTTAAACAAAACCTCATGGTCAGATGTGCCAACAAGGGGGTGGGGAGGCCACCCTCAGCTCCCAACCTGGAACTACATTCCTTGCCCGATTATCATTACCAGAAGCAACATGAAAGAGAGAAAGAGGCCAAGCGAAGTGGCCGGTGCCAGAAATAGACAAGAGAGCTTTAGCAAGCACTAGCAGCCACCTGTGCTGTACAAGGGCAGCACATCAGTGTTAGTAAACAAACCGGCAAGCAGCAGGCCTCAGATGGCACCAGCAGCAGAGCAGGACAAGGAAGTCAGGGAGGGAGGTGGCGGCAGCAATAACGTTTGCTGCCACCCACATATTTTTTAAAAATCACTTGTTTGTTTGTGTCTCCTTCTTTTTAACGGATGTTGTGATGATTCAAAAGGAGCCAGTCACACACCTTGGTGCCAAGGTGTGGGTTGACGAAAAAAGCCCACACAACTGGGCGAGGCAAGTGGCGGTTACTCTGCTGCCTTATCTTGATGGCAGCTCGAGATTAAGGCACGATGTACTGTTTACTCTGGCTCACCTTGCAAGCTGCCTCCCCAAAGGCGGTTTTACTGCTCTGCAGCGCCAGACTCCATGGATGGCCCTTCTTCGTCATGCTCCCTGCAGGGGGGATTTTAACTCTTGTTCCCATTGGGGAAACTCTTCCAAGACTTCTCCCTGCTGTTGTTGTTTTGCAGGGATGCAAACTATGACTAGCACCTGAACTTTGCTGCCATCGGAACCAAGGCGGGTCCTAAACGTTAAGGCACAGTGACTCAGATGAGGAGTACCATTCAAGACAGCACATTCCCTGTTAATTCAGTCATTTTACCACTGTGGGGAACACTGTTTGGATGTTCTGCCTCAGGCGGCAGCAGATTTTGAGCTGCCTCTGAATGGAACAGCTGCCAGACTCTCCAAGTTCCTCTATTTTCCAGGGACAGTCCCAGATTTACAGAAGCTGTCCTGGTTTCCGATTTGATCTCGGAATGCCACGCTTTTCCTTAGGACATCCCTATTTTCATCAGAGAAATGTTGGAGGATATTCTACCCATAGATCCAGGGCTCAGCAAGGGGTTTATATTGTATTGTCCCTGGGATGGAGGCACAACGAGAGTCCAGTTGAATTGAAATAGCACAGAGAGAATTTGGGCCCATATTGTTAGTTTCTGTAGGGAATCAGCTTTAACACAAGCAGCAAGAAAGCCCAAGTAAGGGTGCTGCTTGTAGCATCTTGAGGTATCTTGGGCAGCCCATCAAATGGAAAAAGTCAAGTAGAAGCCATGTATCATATCTGATTCTCCTAATGTAGAATTTGGCCCGGCTAATGCAATAGTTTTACATACCCTCGAACATTTCTCCAATGAAAATATGAACATCCCAATCCATAATGATAATTTTACTATTTATACACCACACATCTTACTGGGTTGCCCCAGCCACTCTTGGGACAGCTTCCAACATACAGTCATACCTCGGGTTAAAGTCGCTTCAGGTTGAACGTTTTCAGGTTGCGTCCTGCGGTGACCTGGAAGTAACGGAATGGGTTACTTCCGGGTTTCGCTGCTTGTGCATGCGCAGACGCTCAGAATGACGTCATGCGCATGCGCAGACACAGCGAATCGCGGCCCGTGCACGCGCAGATGTGGGTTGCGTTCGGCTCATGATGTGAATGGGGCTCCGGAATGGATCCCATTCACATCCAGAGGTATCACTGTATATAAAAACATATTAAACATTTAAAAACTTCCCTATACAGGATTGCCTTCAGACGGCTTGGGGGTTGGCTAACTCCATACCCTCCAACATTTCTACAATGAAAATAGGGACATCCTACCATACACTCCAACATATATCCAATGAAAATAGGGACGTCCTAAGGAAAAGCGGGACATTCCGGGATCAAATCAGAAACCGGGATGGCTTCTCTAAATTAGGGAAGTCCCTAGAAAATAGGGACACTTGGAGGGTTTGCTTTTATTGCTTTGTTTATTTTAGATGGTTGTTCTAGTGGTTCACTAAGTGAAGCTGTCCTATGTCAGAAGCCCCGGGGAGATGTCCTGAAAGGGGCTAGTCAGATCAGAAGAAGGGATGGGAGGATCTTGAAAAGTTGCCAGCTGATGACCTAAGCTGATGACCCAACTCATCAGGTTGGAGCTAGCTGTGTCTGTGCCCCAAAAACATCAGAGCTGCTGGAGGAAGACACTGTAGGTGAGGATTCTGATCCCAGGGAGGTTGTCACCCAGCCACCCCTTGCCAAGCCACCCCCGCCAGCCTCAGTCGCAGTCCCAATACCACCCACTCTACCTCTGAGCTTGGCACCACCACCTTCAGCAACCCCGGTGATGAACATCTGCCTACCCAGGAGGCACCCAGTCTGGCTCCGAGCTGGTGTTGCCACCTTCTGTGTTGCCTAGGACACAGACAAGTACAAACAGACAGCTCGTGTCCAGCTCACTAGGAGGAATTCCTGCTTCCTTGGTCAATCCCAAGATGCATCTTGCTTGCTGCACTGAAACTGTGCCTGCACCACTTCCTTATGTTATGTTAGCTGATGGACCAATGTCTTCACTTGCTTGGTCATGCCATGCACCTGCTGCTCCAGTGTCCCATGTACCATACTGATTTGGACATTAACATTTTTAGCAAGAAACGAAATCTGAGTCTGAGTACTTCCTCCAGCATGAGCCGTGCATGACACACTGTACTCTGGATCAGAGGAAGAACAGGGTACAAAAACATATAACAGGTAAATAAAATTAATGAATCACGTTTTCATAATGTTTCACCACCGGAAGTTAGCCCAAGTATATTAACCAATTGTGTTGCAATGACCCATGAGCCGATACTGGATGACTACAGGTGTGGATGAGGAAGTAGGTTACAGGTAGCCATAAAGCATTAGAGAATCATAGAGTTGGAAGGGACCAAGGGTCATCTAGTCCAGCCCCTGCAATTCAGGAATCTCAACTAAAGTATCTATAACAGATGGACATGCAACCTCTGCTGAAAAAGCACCCAAGAAGGAGAGTCCACCACCTTCTGAGGGTGTGTATTCCGCTGCTGAACAGCTCTTATCCTCAGAAAATTCTTCCAGGTGTTTAGTTGGAATCTCCTTTCTTGTAATCCATTGGCATAGGTCATAGCCTCTGGAGTAGGAGAAAACAAGCTTGCTCCATCTTCTATGTGACAGCTCTTAAGATATTTGAAGATGACTATCATATCTCCTCTCAGTCTCCTCTTTTCCAGGGTAAGCATACCCAATTCCCTCAACCGTTCTTCATAAGGCTTGGTTTCCAGACCCTTGATCATCTTGGTTGCCCTCCTCTGCACACGTTCCAGCTCGTCAATATCCTTCTTAAACTGTGTCACCCAGAACTGGGTGTGGTAGTCCAGATGTGGTCTGACCAAGGCAGTGGCAAAGCTACTATGGGCAGAGAGCAGGCGGGGGTGTGGCACGCCGCCCACGAGGGCATGGCGGATGTTCTGGGGGCAGGGCACCTGGCACGCAGGGGGGGGTGACACGTGTCCGGGGGAGCTGCCGCGATGGCACCCTACTGGAATGGTGGTGCTGGGGGCAGTCCGCTCCCTCTGCACCCCCACTCCTTTGCTAGTGGACCAAGGCAGAATTGAGCACTATTACTTCCCCCGTGTCCATCTATACTTCTCTGGGTACAGCCTAGAATAGAATTGGAATTTTTGCAGATACAACCACAGGACAAGAACATCACATCCAGTCCATTTACCTGGTGGTAGCCAATCAAGGAAGATCCAGAGGGAGGGCAGTCCCTAAAATCTATCTTCTAGACTACCGTATTTTTTTTGCCAAGAGTGCCTTTCCTAGGTCAGATTATGTGGAAATCCTATCCAGCCTTTGGAACTGAGGGACTGACACTGTGTCAATAAGCATATTGATAAATTCAGAGCTACAACAGGCAGGTAGCCATCAAGGCATTAACCAGCCCTGCTGAAACACACTCCACACACCCCTCTAGCTTCCCATGAGTATGGATGGGAAGTGAGGACTGATTTAGTTTCAACCCAGCCTGCAAAATCAGTAACTTTTATAGGAGGGGGGACATTTTCCAGAGAGGAAATTAGGTTTAATTGCAAGCTCAATTAAGGCAAAAGGAGTGATTGCAACTGAGCAGATTGATTAAAAAGTGGGAGAGGCTGGGTGAATTAATGATGACCGAAGTCCAAGCTGATTAACCTGTAAAATTGGCACCACGTAACTTTTCTTTTTCAGATGACAAGACAACGGCAGATTCCAATATTTTAAATAAATGAATCAGCCCTCTAAAAGTAATTATGCGTGCTTTACACTGTGACATTAAATACATTTTCACTCATTTGCTTAAACTGCAATCCTAGAAAGATTTCTGTGAGAGTTAAATCTCACTGAAATCAATGGGGCTTACTTCCAAGTAGACATTTTAAGATTGGTCTGTTAGCTTTCTAGGATATGTATTGTGTCTGGAAGAAAATGAAAAATCCAAGCCAGAGAGGCTACATTCACTGAGGGACTAAATATTATTGGATTTTCTCTCCCCCCCCCCCCAAATTACAGATATCTTAGCCTTTCTTAAGAATTGGAAAACCTGAATAATATTAGAGAATTCCTACACTCAGTTCTAAACATAAAATGTAAACCAGGAGCTTTGGGTGCGCAGATAGGCAGCAGCTTACCTTTCAAATTCTGTTTCTGGCCCTGACAGCCAGCAATCGACAAAAGGGGATTGGCTTACTAGTTCCTGATTTGTATGGCTTCTGTGTGTCAAGCGTGCATCAAGGATGTCAAAAACCTTCCAGTCTAGCTCCTCTCCCAGTGTCACAGCAGCCAAGACCTGTAATGGGCTTTTTCAGCAGCTCCCAGTTCAGATGGAAGTTTTTATTATGAAATGGTATTGAAGCAGTATGAAAATTAATACAAGGTTAGGGCTGAAGAGATTGGGGTGCATAGTCACCCTGCACATTGATGTACATGCATGCATTCAAGCAAACACACAAGAGTTGAGACCACAAGAAGGGCCTGCTGGATCAGGCCAATGGCCCATCTGGTCCTGCATCCTGTTCTTTCAGTGGCCAGCCAGATGTCTAGGGTAGGTCAGCAAGCAGGACTTGAGGGCCACAGCACACTGGACACCTGCGATGCTGAGCAACTGGTATTCAGCAACATATTGCCTCTGACCGTGGACATGGAACATAGCCATCATGGCTAGGAGCTGTTGATAGTCTTGTTCTCCATTAATTTGCCTAATCCTTTTTAATCTTCTTCATGAACACTTTTAAGTGGCTAATGCTATAGCTCTAAACACGGTACTAGGTAAGGTACAAATCTCTTTGCTTGTGGGGAGGGAAGAAAAATTATTGCTTAACCTGTTTTGATATCATTGCTATAGTTATAATAAACTATCAAGACACAGCACCCACCACTTGCTATTACAATAAACTGCTCCCCCTTTCCTTTATTTCTTTATTTCTGCACTGAATGCATGCAAGCTTGGCTGAGAAACTTGGATGTGATTCTCCTACCCACCATCACCCAAATGGCACTTCTGCATAATGAATGATGCCCTCCAGCTGTAAAGGAGATGAAACCCAAGACTAGTAGGTTTTGCAAACCGTAGGTCTGCCCCCTCACAAACACAAAACTGTGATACAGAATTCCAAGTGAGCCACTGAGAACCAAGCTCATCCCTATATTCACAGCCTTGCTCTCTTTGTCCGCCTAGCATGCCTGGGTGTCATTTCTTGATGATCGTGGCAAAGAGAAAGGACCCAAAAACTTCATAACACAACCTCTCAGGTCTTAAGCATGGCTTGGTTCAGCATTATATCACTGTTCAAAGTGTTGGTTGCAGCATAGAAAGGAAGCACTCTGCAGGACATTCATATGAATGCTCCTAGGCCCAATGGAGACAAACTTGCAAACCTTGATGCTCACAATAATTCCTCTGAGATTTTGTAGATCCAAGAGTGCCATTTCCTCAACAACATCCACTAAGATATTTGGTATCTCAAACAATTTCCAATGTTCATTAGAGGACAATTAAACCCTCTTATTTTATATCTAAAGTCTGTAAGATACCCAGATGACATGTTAACGAGCAAATCCTGCATCCATGCAGTCTCATGGTATGCCCCACCAAGGTTTTGAAATCTCAACTTCAAATTCATTTTTTTACAGCTGAAAAAGCATGTTTTCATATAAGATGTGACATTCTATATTGCACCACGGCCATCTCAGTTCCAAAATACCAATCTTGAAAACAAAGTTGTCCAACAGATTTCAAGTAAGGACCATGCAGTGACAGAGCTTCATGCTCCGGCACCAGGGGACGGAGAGCAGCCAGGGGTGGGGTTGGAGCGCATCCCGGGGGTGGGTGGCGCCGCCTGCAGGGGCCTGGCGCCCAGCACAGGCAGGCGGCAGCCATGATGGCACCCCACCAGGATTGCGCTGCCAGGGGTGGTGTGCTCCCCCCCCACTCCTCTTCCTCCGCCAGTGGGACCATGGCAGGTAAAGCAGTAGATTTTTTAAAAAATGAATAAAACAGTACACACCAGCAACTTGAAGCACCTGTAAGAGAATTGGCATTGTACCATTAAGCGGGCACACTTGGGCGGAGGTCTTCTGTCATAATGTTGACACAGGCCAGTAAGTTTTCACTGATAGACTTTGATTTGGCTGCATGACTATAGATGTTGTGTATAGCTGTGGACATCTTTCCCTATGACACATGCATTTCAAACCCAGATTTCATATTCATTTTAAAGAAACTTGTTAGGAATGTAGTATTTCTCCCTGCTGTAAAACATCTTCTGAAAAAGCTGTTCAAAGAGAGACCTCTGCCTTTCATCTCAGGATTTAGTCACTGGCATTGTTCACTAGGCTAGAAATATTTTTTTGCTCAGAGTACACTTCTGTAGACGACAACAGTATCAAATCATAGTTACAGTATTCATTTATTAATCATATATATTAGTTGCTTTGTCATTAAGTTCTCGGGGCAACTTACAAGCAAAGCTAACAATCACACAAAAGCAGCAAGAAAACAAAACACAAAGGGTGCAATCCAGGCAAAGTTAAGCCCTTTGGGTCCCTTCCACTCTACAATTTTATGATTCTGGATGGTTAAGCAAATGCTTACAGCAGTTTCACTGGAGCCAATGGCAGTAGGTGCTTGGTTTTGGGTGCCTATAGTATAATTTTCAAAAATAAAAACTGTAGACCTGAAACGGGTCAGTAAAATTAAAGCTGCAATCCTATACGCACTTACCTGGGAGAGTTGTGATTGCAGTGGGACTAATGCCAGAGCAAACATGCATTGGATCGCACTGCCAATCCTACCTTTTGCTCCAAAGGCAGAGCCCCCAGCATTAGCCTCGCCACAGATTAACTCACTGACAGAATCTATAACCAGAGTCTGTGTGTTCTCAGCTATCAGGAATGCCCCCTCACATTTCAGATGAAAAATAGGTATTTTATTGTGAAATGTGGTGAATAAAGCATTGAATAGTATGGGGCAGTGAGCACATCAACAAGGGCCTGGTGACATATGGCATCAAGTAATCCATTCACTACCATGCATACCCAAAAAGCCCCTTTTCACATTTAGATGAGAATGTGTATATGTTTACAGTTACACATTTTGCCCAGGAAATGCTGACATATTTCAAGGCGACAGACTCTGTGCAGCAACGAATTTTGAATTCCACTTCCTGATCATAATGGCAGTGTGCCAGCCAGATAGGTACAGTTTCAGGTAACCTCCCATATGGGTATAAACCCACATGCACCAGTAATCTGAACACACGGGTACAAAGCAGGTATATCGACATGGAGTCTGCCACTTGAAAGGCACCTGTAAAAACCCTGCACAGCAAGGTCAGCTGTCAAAAATCACTGGACCAACCCCACTACATCAAAAGCCTGTTGACTCTTGGGAGCAGATACTACAGCTTTTCCATCCTTTCAACAAGCTTCAGCTGAAACTCGCCCATCTATTGCTAGCAAACTAGACAAATGCCATTTGTACAGCAGCAATACCCCCAACAAAAGCTCATATGCAACCACACATTGTAAAAAAGAGAACCACATCACCCTGTTCTGCCTTCAGCTATCCAAGATCTGCACTGCGGGGTCACCTCCTGCAGCCCCCCCCCAAAAAGAGTCCCTTTAGTGCTGAGCACGCAAATGCCTTGTGTATGTGTTAAGCAACTTCCAAAGCTACTGAACAAACAATGCAAGGATTCAGGTGCAAAAACCAAGGCCGGGAGTCTTAGAACTTACATCAAGCTGGCATTCAATAGCATACAAAGCACATATTATTTTAACAGCAAAGCAGCAGGGAAGGAACTGCAAAAATGCCACGGATTCCACCTCCAAGCTTTGACCCCTGCCTTGAGCAGTTTTCAAATACCCTTGGTTGTATTACTAGAGCTTAAGTTCATCTCTAGATAGCACTGAAGGTTCTGGGCATATCAAACCCCAATCCGGACTCCGCATCCATGAGGACTAGCCTCAGTTGTTTAAACACACCTGCCATTTCCTGCCATCTTTTGTCACCACCACCGGGTGTTTAAAAACTAGCTGACAAGCACAACTAAACCCTGCTGGCTGGCTGGATCACACAGTCCGGAGAAGCAGCAAAAGTCTTATCTTTTTGTGAAGCCAGAAAGCACAACCGTCAACAAACCGAACACCTGGATTTACCTTCAAGGAAGAGGTGGCAGCATCCCTCAGTGCTGAGACGCGAGGAGGTTAAAAATAAAAATAAGCCTCTTGCAGGGCAGGGTCCAACGTGGAGGTTGGGTAAAAGACAGCTGGGTGGGGCGGGGGGAGCGGTGGAAAAACTTGCTGAAGAAATGAGAAAGTAAAGGAGAAGAGAAGCGCTCACAGCTTCTTCCTCCGTCCCGGGAGATCCGTCAGCGAAAAGGCAGCGTACAACATCCAAAGGCTAGCAGGAACTGGAAGAGTGATAAAGTAGGTCTGAAATCTGAAACTGCAGGTTGGGCCAGTCATATATAAACACACGCATACACACACACCCATTCAGTCTCCTCTCTCTCGCCACCCCTCTGCGCTCGCTTAGTAATAGCTAAGGCAGCCCTCTAGCTGCGCGCCGGAAAACTGGAGAGACGCTCCAAGACAATCGTGCCAGGGAAAGAGCGAGGCAGGGACCTGTCAAAAGCAAACCCACACGCCGTTCCCAGCCACGCAAAGTCTGCAACAAAAGCCGATTAAATGCTCAGGCGAGGGGCGTCAAACTGACATTCCATTTATCTTCGCTTTGGGGAAGTGCTTTTACGTTGCTAAGGGAGAAGCAGTATTCCAGAAGGTGCATAGATAAATAAATAAATAAATAAATTATTATTATTATTATTATTATTATTATTATTATTATGAAGCAGCATTGCACTGAAGCTTCTCATTCATAAGTTTTAAAGTAATTTGCTGGGGGTGGGCGGATGTACTGGGAGAAGGAGAGAGAAATGAGGTGTCTCAAATTTATGAATCAAAGTGGGTGAGCTATTTAAATGTTAAATGTGGAAATTGCAAAGCCTTGGGAATATGCAAAGCACTCTCAACTTGGTTTTTCTTTTTAAAAAGTTATTAAGGTTTATTATTTCATTTGTAACAAAAACCTATGCGTGTCTACTCAGATTGAAGTCCCATTAAGTTCAATGGTGCTTACTCCCAGAGAGATTAAATTAGGGTTGCAGCCATATAATGTCATCCTTTGTAGACTCAGAAGTATGTTCCATTTTATTCAATAGGGCTTACTCCCGGGTAAAAGTGCATAGGATTGCAGCCGTCATTACTTGATAAATGATAACTGGGTTAATTCACCAAGTGCTTAAACAATTGAACGTTCCAAACAATATGGCTTTGTTACTCAACCAATTAATAATTATAAAGAGATTGACTGAATAAATAGGAGTTAATTAATGCACATCACCTTTTATTTTACGGAAGAGGGAAAGGGAAAAGAGGTTAAAAAAAATACTCACAGAGGAACATGATCAGCCAGAGGTCTACAGTGTGGGATAACCAGGTCTGTGAGGTCTAAACTGGGACTCAGCTACATTGGTGAAGAAAGAGTGTTTTATATGTGTTGTACATGCGATAGAACACTGTGACACCAGATGGCGCTGTGGAGTCCTGTCTTTCCATGCCAGATTTCCCTGTATGAGTTTACGATGCATTTAACTAAATCACTTCTTTGACGTGTCTAGATCCAGCCCTGCTTGTTCCAGCCTCAGGACACATGGCTCTAGCAAGCTTCTCTTGTGTCCAATAATTTAGGAACTTTCACCAATGTAAGCCAAGTTCCCACACTTTACTCTGTTGCATGTTTTGAGACTTTAGATCTCACCAAAGAGTACTTGTCCCAAACTTGGATTTTGGCATTCAGGAATTCTCCTTTATTATCTACTTTTCCCTTACCAACAACATATATAGGAGGTCAGTCACTGTCCAAGAAACCACACACTACAGCTTTCTTCTGCCCCCTCAAAATCTTCTTGGCACGAATGTTTTATTAATATAACATACAAATGTACCATGAAAGATTTCTAATGAAAAGACATCAAAGTGAAGAACGTCAAAACTTGAAATCCCAAATTACACTTGTGGCTGGGGGATTAAGAAGCAAGTCCCACAATAATTTAAAAGGAGCATTTCCTGAATGTGATGTTGATATAAAAGTTCCTTCTGCTTGACTTCTCTTCCTTTCCCCAAATTTAGTTAACCATCTATTTCTTCCAAAGAACAATTCGAAAAACTGCTGTATGGGCTAAACACAATGAACAATGGGAACTGATACGTCATCATAAATTTGTGGATGTGGACAGAAGTTCCTGAAACTCACTTGCAACAAATTGGGAAAGTATTTGTGCTAATCTTGAATCAGTGCTAGCAGGAATTAGGCTGCAGTCTCAGGTCCTTGCAAGCCACCCTCTCCTTGCGAAATTCTGCATTGAATTTATTTGTTTATGCCTGTATCCTGCCATTCCTCCAAAGAGCTCAAGAATGCATACACCATTCCCTGCTCCCCTGATTTTATCTTCACAATAGCCCTGGGAGGTAGGTTGGCATCATAGCTGAGCAGGAATTTGAACCCAGATTTTGGTGGCCCAAGCCTAGTGAACTGTCCAGACTGTACACTGCCACACTGGCTCTCTGCATTAACCTCCATGCAAGTCATTAAACACAGACCACTCTTGCACGCAAAGGATGAAGAACAGAGCCCCCAAATATCATGGGATAATTAAAGTTACTAGTCCATGTCCCTGTTATTCAGGATGCTTGTATACAATGGGATATTCAACTTGAGAAATTCTGAGCCAGCTGGCTCAAATATACCATACTGTGTCATTTTAAATGGAGCTTGCTTTCAAAGAACTGCTAAAATTACTTGACATTTATTTTCAGCCAAACAGCAAGCATGCCTGCTCCATGGGTTTGCATTTAAAATCGGATGGAGTTTACCCACAATCTGGCCATTGTTAAAAGGCAAACTAATTCATCTGAGTGCTTTTGAGAAAGCTTCCTTGCTGGAGGGAACAATCCTTTCATGGTGGCAGGGAAATGGAACTAGATGACCTGGAAAGACATTTCCAGAGTTTATTTTTACCCTGCTAACATCTTCCTCCTATTTCTGTCAGAAACAACAGGAGAAGATTTGCCCACAGTCCAGTTGTTCTTCACTGATCCTGCGGAAGCATCCTTGGAAAGCCAAGCAGACTGCTTTTCAGGATCTGGATCATGCTGATTCTGTCCATCCATCTGTCTCGGGAGACAATGGAGGAGTGAGGTCAAGCTGTTGGAAGGTTGCAGCGCCTGCTGTGGCTGTAGAGCCTGATGTGGGAGAGATCAGTTTTGTTGCAGCTGGAGCAAATGAAGGCATCCAGTTGTGCTGCTGCAAATGCACCATGGCATTTCTCCTCTCTGTGCTCCTCCCAGCAGTCATTTCTCCTCTGGTCACTGCTATGCATACATGACTTGACTGCCCATCTCCAGGCACTGCGGTCATCTGCAAGGGATTCCCCCACATGGCAGGGTTGATGTTGCCATCCTTCATGTCTCATTTGATGACATCTTTGTAGCACAGAGTTGGTCTGCCAATGGGCCTAGTGCCTGAAGCCAGCTCCCCCTAGAGCACGTCCTTGGGGATCCTGCCATCTTCTGTTCTGTAGCAGAGTAGACGTCGCTGAGACAGAAGTATGAGCATGCTGGGAATGTAGGCTTGGGAGAGCACATCTTTGTTTAGAATTCTGACCTTCTAGGTGATACCCAATCTATCTATATTGAAGGCATGGGGAACTGTAGACTGCAGAGATGTCATAGTCCAACACAAGGAGGAGCGATGTTGGCATAAGAAATACGAGTCACATTATATCCCTTTATGACTTGCTTCCAGTTGTGCATGGAAGCACCAAGACAGGAGCACAAGATGCTCCCATGTAGTCCCATTCTTATCTAAAACGTTTAAAATTTATGTAAGCAAACCCCCCAAGACAGTAACAGATTGTTGGCCTCAAGGAAGGCCAACAGAGAAATTAGGAGTGGACTGCTGATCCCGTTCCTTGCTATACTGTTATGAAAAACTGAATGGCTAGATGTTCCCCTTCCCAAGACTGTATTTTGAATAGGTGAAACATAGCCTCATTCTCGGGGGCTTGATCAGTGGCATTTGGGGTCTTTGTTTCTCCTCACTGTTTTCAGAGGAACAAGAAGGGAGCACAAAGTAATATGTTCTGGTCTTTCTAATTGTGGTTTGGGAAAGCTTTGGGTTATGGCTGTATTTTTTCCTAAGAAGTCCCATGCAAATAGTTGAGAAAACCTAGATGGAGTTTTAAACATTTGACGGTGAGGAGAGAGGCTTTGAATAAGTGCTACATGATCAACCAATTCCCCATATAGAAATTTTGAAATTAACGTACAATGTAGGAATGTAACTGTGTTGTACTTTTTGGTTGGGACAATACTGCCTTGTAACTAGATCTCACAATTCTTCAGGTGTGTATTGAATTTTGCTTTTCTCTTAAGGTTTAGTATTGATACAGTGCAAGTAATTTTTGAAAGTGCAACAAAAATGCAGACAAATGCAGGCCAGAGGTAGCCAATGTGGTACTTTCCAGGTGTTCCTGTATTCACACTCTCATCCCTCATCTTGTTGGCTGGAACTAACTAGAGCTGGAGTTCATCAACATCTGGAGGGCACCATATTGACTATCCCTGATGCAGGACTGCAGTCAAATAGCTTTAAACATTTCAGTTTAAAGGGCTTCATACTCTCTGCAAAAGAAATAACAGAGGAGATCAAGGGTGCCATAAGTGATTCAGCATAGTTTATTAATTTGTTTGTAAGGCTCCCATGAAAGTGTAAATGGTTTTATAATGGGCTTTTACACAACTATATATTAATTTTTATTTTTTCCATGAGAGCAGGGTGTGTTAATTTAGCTTAGCCAACCAAAGAAATTGGAATGAGAAGCAGATTTAAAAAGACCCTCTTGACTAATATAGAAGATACTACAACCTGCATTTGGGCATCCAGTTGCTATAGGCAAAGCGCTGTAGGCCTTATTCCAAAATGTACCAGCCATGTGATAAAGATGAATACAGGGACTAAAAACCAAATAGAAACGGGCAGAAGGCAGGTGCTAACACTTACCTCACTGCATGGCCAGATTGTACGGACTGTAGACTCTCTATGAAGTTGCTGCCACTCCACAGTGAGCCTGTAAGCAGAGACTAAGCTGCAGACAGTCTGCTGAATCTGTCCCAGTTGTACAACTATAGTTGCAATTTAACAACCACACCTGTTTGGTGACTTTTGAAAGAATGAGACAAAATCTGGGTTAAGTACACAGGAGGTATTTCCACTCTGGAATGTACACTCAGGAGATGGCTAAGGTTATTGGCCAAGGCAGACTGCAGCATTTCATCACGCCAGCATTACAGGGATCCCTATTTACTTCCTACAAGGGAAACTTACTCAGCAAAAGAAATAGTCTCAGCGCCCCACAGAGAACAGAGCTTGGCTCTCCCTGCCTAGCCTTTGGCACAGTGCACAGGCTTAATGTGCTTGGCAGGATCTTCCCCTGTTGTTTTTGGAAGGGCTTCATTCACCTGCTCCCTAAATTGGGAATAGCTGCACATCAGGTTTGCAGGGTAGAAGGATTTGCATGGGGCTGGGCAAGCAACTGAAGGGGTTCAAAAGGTAAGGGGTAAGAAGCTATTGGAGTGTTATGCTGGCAGGAAGTTCATCAGTTGGCTTAAAGCAAACTGGCACTTTGCTTCTCTAGAGTTCTCTGTATACCCATTAAAATAGCCATAGCAGTAATCCAGGTTGAACGATTTATAGAATCACTGTCTGGTACCCAGGCAAAAGTCACACTTGCCACTTGCGCTGCACTATTATTGGGTGAACAGAAAAGCTCAGGGAGAATGAATGTGCAATCCCACCATTAGTGAACAGCACATAAACTCTCATTCTTAAGCTTTTGAACCTTCCTGGGTCATGGAAGTAGAGCCAGAAGGCCTTTGGTTGGTTTTGCAATGAATCTGGGGGGCTCAGATGAAAGAAGATGCTTCACCCAAGCTCTTATTTCAAGAGATGAGTCAACAGTAATTTACCTGGCAACTTGTTGATGCTCAAATGTTTTGTGTCTTTTGTCTGTGAGGTAGGGGAAAATGCACACACACATGAGTGGCACCACTGGGGTAATATTTTAAGGCAGAAATCCAGGGCACTACTCCTCAGAATGAGCAGCAAGGTCCTCAGATGTACCAAACCTGGCTTCCACATTCCCAAGTAAAGCAATAAACATCACCATCTAAAGAGGAGCTTCCTGAAAGACTGTTAAGATCAATCTAGATTTACCTAACTGCAGGACTGGCACATGTGAGTACATACATTTGCGCACATGCACAAATGCACACACACACACACACACACACACACATTCATGTATGTCTCTTGATTTCCTTTTTTTAAAAAGAGGCCTAAGGAACACAGGTCTCTCCTAAGCCACCTGGGTGTTTATATCTATAATATCTCGCTGAAAATAAAATATCTGAGGAAGAGCCAGAGAGATGTGCAGATCCTTAATTAACTGCAGAGCCGGCTTTTTTACTTCATTGAAGGATGCAGTATATCCTGTTTGGATCTACGCGGCTGCAGGCTCCTTGCAAGCTCCTCCTTGCACTTTCCTACCTACTGGAGGGCAGCAGGTGTTTTTGCCAGTCTGCTTTGTTTGCTGGCATGTTAAATTTCTGCTACTTGCTGCTGTTTCTGATATGTCAAAGAGAGTTCTCTCTTTGGCATATTCTGATCTTGCTGTCACTCAAGCCTAGAGGCGAATCTCCATAATTCTGGCAGTGCCCTCAGACCATCAGGAATGCCGTTGAACCAATAATCCCTGATGACTTAATCCCTCGGATTCATACCTTGGAAGAACAAATCTGACCTTGGAATTTCAACTGTTTTCAGGGATGTTGCAGTTCCACCATGCGACATTGATGCCAAGGACTCCACAGAAATGTGTCAATTCCACTGCTTTTACCTTGAGACGTTCAATATTTGAGTCCTTTTGTTGACAAATCAAAGCACAAGGGCCTGGACTGCACACAATTCCTTGGAAGACCCAGGGGCCGTTTAAAGAAAAACAACTTCTCCAGAACTCATGGAAAACAAAAAAGTTGAAGCCATGGCTACGTATTGCCCAAAGGAGCAGCCCTTTCTAGTATTAGCATATAAACACCCATAGACACATCTCCATTTCCAAATGTCTCCGGCACATGTCTTTTCCCTACAGTGCCTTTGGGTAGATCCACACCATATATTTAAAGCACGTTCAATGCACATTTAAAGAAAATGACCACCCCCAAAGAATTCTGGAGTGGCATTCATCTAAGAAGCCCCATCAGCAGAAACCCTGTGCAAGGACTTTTTCTTTTGCAAAGAAGCTCCCCACCTCCAAAATTGGCTAGGGTGGGGGGGGCGGAAGAACCCCCAGTACAGTGCATGCACTGTGATCTCATATAACTTTTCAACCCAGCCAGGAAAAGCTGCTTTTTTAAGTGAACGAAGAACCATAATGCAAAATTACAAATATGCCACAATAGATCACATGGTCCACTGGAGGGCAGGGACTGGCAAATCATCAAAAGTGCTGGGATCCAGCCCTTGGCTATAGGAGAGGCCATCCTGCTTATCACTAGGAAAACCATCTACTGTACTGTGTCTGCCAGGTTGATATTGCATATTCCTACTTGGGGGCTTGTTAGCTACCTGAGCTCTGCAATTTGCACAGCTCTCCAATTATGAACATTTACTCTCTATAAACAAGCAAGAATGTTGTAGTAAACTTTTACAAGTTAGTAAAAACAAAACATGATGATGATAAATAGATAGATATACATATACAAACACACACACACATTGTACACATCATATCCTTATAGTTTTGATGTTCTCTTAAATTGTAAATTAACACATTTTATTTTGACAGATTATCCAAGAAATATGCATTGTCCTATATGAAATATGTAAAGCACTAGTGGGAACTTTGCTTTAAACTGGTGCTTTAAATGGGCCTTATTTCTTCTGTAATTTCAGTTGTTAATTTAAATACCCTTGATTTCAATCAAACCACCTATGAATGAAGTATATAGTATATAGGAAACCCAGCCAGATGGGCGGGGTATAAATAAATTATTATTATTATTACTACTACTACTACTTCAACAGTGATGCTCTCAGTCTCTCACACATATCCTCCCCTACAAGCTGAATTCCTCTGATTTGACAGTATTGACAACCATGGATGGGACTTACCAGAGTGAAACTACAGGACTGTGTTGTTTATTCAAATTGGAGACTTTGTAGAAATAAGCACTGAAGTTTTAGGAAGGTGCCACAGATGCACTTAGACAAAGGCCCTGTAGCCTGCCAAGAGTTACTGTGCTATAATGGTTAGAGAGTTGAACTAGGAATGTCAAGACCCAGGCTTAAATTCCCATTCTGCCCACTCGGTGACCTTGGGCCAGTCACTAAATCTCCAGCCTCACTTGTGGCGAGGATAAAATTGGGAAGGTGCCACCTTACAGATCTAGGAGGAAAGGTGGGATAATATAAACATAATAAATCAATGCCCACTTCAAACTGCAGTGTACTGAACAATTGATTATCACCTGCAATAACTCTGACTCCAAGATATGCCTCTTGCCCTCCACAGACTCAAGTAACTCTGCCTTTAGCCTTAGTCATTACTGGCTACTCGCAAGGAAGCTTAATGGTTCCAAGGCTATGCCGACCTCAAAGCAAAGCTTCTATGTTTCCCACCCCTAGCAGCCCCAAATTCAACTCCTCAATCTTCACCACCAGTGATATGTGAACAGGACCAGGCTCCAATGACAGTATTCTAGCCTCATTTCCTATGTTTCTGAAAGTCATTCTCTGAGATGGGTGGAAAAAACCTTTTAAAGGGGAAATGTTTTTTATCCAATTCTCTGTGATTTTAACTTTTTAAGGGAGATGTGAGGGTTTTTTTAGAATTAGAAACCTTGGGATTTATATTTCATCAACAAAAACCTTCAGAGGAAATAATACAGACCCTTGTATAAACTAGCAATGTGAGGGTTGTTGTTGTTTTTTTAAAAAAAGGCTGAACTCAATCAGGATCTGATTTAGCATTCCTGATATGACATATTTGGCAAAGAACGCTTTTTTTAAAAAAGTATGCCCTGTTAACTTTTGTGCTGGATAAATATCACATTAAAAAATTCTAATAGCTCAAAGCATTTGAATGGAAATATTATAAAGAATAATTTATATGCAATGGAAGTAATTTTTATTGGAATACTCATAAGTATATTGCAAGACAAAAGCCTTTACTCTGATGCATTTAAACATTCTTCCATCAGTAGTTCTAGAGGGGAGATTCCCCCTCCCCCCAAAAATCCACCTTTTTCCCCACAGTTCTCAGCATTTTGATATAGATGTTGTTTTTATTGTACCAGAAATACTATTACCAGTACCACTTGCAACATATTTAAATACCTACGAATGTCACTTCCAAGTACTGCCAAAATATCTGCTGTTGTCAATGTAAATGGCTCTGTGAATCTGAAAAGGTAGAACTGATAACTCATGTTCTTACGCAATGCTCTTTTTATCATGATACATATAACATTTTTACTGAACCCTTTTTAAGGAAATTCCCAGGAGGATCATGTGCATTTCATGCTTTTTTTATTCCTTCCTGATCAGAATGCATTCATCTCTTCCAGGCTAGCTACATATTGTGCTGCTTCATGTAAAATTCACCAGGGACTAATTTTAGTAAACTCATAATTTCATTTTCTGTGCCTGGCATTCTATTGCATGACACAGATACTTGTCATTTTTATAGTTGTGTTTTTTATTTTCTTTCATCTGCTATTATTTTCTATATTTGTACAAACTTCCTTTTTGAATACTGGTAATTGACCATAATAATGAGATTGGTGGATGGATGGACTGATTGCAAGACACAACAACTCACAAGATTAACATTTTTAGAAAAAGACATCAGAGTGCTGGGGGAAAAATACAAACATACTAATTTTAGCACGCTCAGGGAATTACACATCTACATGTGCCATCTAAATAAAATACTATTTTCAGGAACTGAAAGTGGGATGTGAGAACGCAGTCCTGCCAACCAGACAGCAGCCTGTCACATCACTGAGACATTCCTAGAGGACAAACACAATATGCTCACCTGAAAGTCAGAAGGCTGTCCGTCTCTGCCAGTTCCTAACAAGACTGACCAATGCTTATTAATATGCTAGTTGGGTGTGGGATGATCAACAGCTCTTATCTGTTTCTCCCTCCTAAGAAAAGAAGCTGTGGAAGGAACGTGCCTGTCAAAGGTTCCCCTCTACCCCCAAGGCCACAGTCCTGGCATGCAAGGTCTTGCCCTTCTGACCTGAGATTTCAGGCACAACGCGGAACAGGCTGTTTAATTCCATCTCAGCTATTCTGTCTGGGAAAGAAGAATTTATTGCCTTGTGGTTTGGAGACCTTGATTCTTTCCTATGGAGAAGGAATCTGCTCACTGGCAAATTGTGGTCTCTCCCACCGGACAGTCAGGATCTGCCAACCTATTTGGAATTGAGGGCACATTACGCATTTTGGGAAAGGGCCATGGGCATCACTTCATCTGGTTCCTTCTCACCCCACTCCCTCAGATTCCTCTCCTTCCCAAGAAAGAAAGGATACACACCTTTCTTCTGCTCTTTCCAGGCAATTTAAAGCTCCATGTCTGAGTGCCCTTGTTTGCTCCAGAGCTTTCCCCACAATACCTGCTCTATAAAGTTCAACTGGAGCAAACATCAATCTGCAGAAAAGCTGAATTGATGTTTGCTCCAATTCAGCTTTAAAGAGGGAGTTCTTGTGGAAAAAGCTCAGAGGAGGGGATGCTCAGACATGGAGCATTAAAGCACAGACCTCTGCCCTGGAAAGAGCAGGATAATCCCGTACATATATTTTACCCAGACCACCATGGAAAAGCAAAGATTCTGTAGAATTAAAATTGATCTTCCTGAATTTGCATTATTTTGCATCGGATCCTCCAATATCAGCATCAAATTAAAGCTCACATTGGTAGACTGCACAGAAAAAAAATAGTCAATCTGGTGCCTGCCAGATTGACTTATGGCACAAATCCCCATGGATATTCATGATTTTTCCATAGGGTGGTAGCAAAACTAGCAGCAAATCACAGAACACAATTGTAGTCACAGAGGTGACCTATGATTTGATGGTGGTTTTCAGAGAATCCCTTGTGGGGGAGGAAAAGATCCATGCTACCAATCATGTTTTTGTGCCATGGCAGTGATAGGCAGCACCAGATCCATGAGTTTTACAGTCAGTTGAGACAGTCCATGGGAGGAAATGTACAGTTGTACAGTGCGGTAAATGTATAGTGAAAATGTACAGTTTTACTAGATCTCAAGTTTTTGTGTGTGTGCATACACTTTCTATCTGACTCCAATCCCTCTTTCTGCCCTCTGATTCATGCACCCCACTTAATCTCCATTTGCTTTCCCCCCAACAGTCTCCCAAATTGCCCCCTTTTCCCTCCTGCCTGCTCAGGAACTCAGCTTTCTGTTTAGCTAGCCAATTAACTAAGGTGCCAATTTAACTATTAAAAATCACATGGAGCTGAAAGAGGAAGTGGGAAAGAGAGTCATTCTTCCAGCTTTCGCTTCTTTTTGCTTTTCAGACAGTGGGAAAGAATACAACCACCCCACACAAGGAAGTGTTGAAGGCACCGGGGAAAGTCCACAAGGGCACCACTTTGCCCAAACATACCACACTGCTGATCCCAGAACTAAATGCTGAGCTGCCTATTGTCAGGGGCAGCAGAGACACAGAAATGAGCCACAGTGTAATGATCTATGATCAACTGGTGCTTCTCTACACCTTACACTTGGTTACTTCTGCTGAGCTGAGCTCCTTGAGGAAAGGTGGGATATAAACATCATCATAAATTTTTATTTATACCACGCCCTTCCCAGTTTAAAAACCGGGCTCAGGGCGGCTAACAGCAAATATAAAACATTGATTTAAATGTGACTTTAAAACAGCAAAAAAACAACAACATAAAATGCAGCATCAATATCAATAAAATTCTAAAATTCAGGGGTCATTTTGAGAGAGAGAGAAAAAAACCCAGTCAGTAGACATCAAATGATCGCCAGGGCTAACTGGCCAAGTTGATCCTACTAGGGCCAGCAAGGAGACCAGGGAAGAATTTAAATGCGGGGTCCCAGAAAGGGCTTATTCATAGAAGAGGAAAGGGAAAAGGGAATAGAGGATCAGGCTAATTCAAATTGAAGGCCAGATGGAATAGCTCTGTCTTACAGGCCCTTGGAAGGAGATCAAGTCCTGCAGAGCCCTAGTCTCATGGGACAGAGCATTCCACCAGGTCGGAGCCATCACTGAAAAAGCCCTGGCCCTGGTGGAGGATAGTCTGGCTTCCTTGGGGCCCACGACCTTCAAGCTATTTTTATTCATGGACCTTAGGATCCTCTGCGGGACATACCAAGAGAGACAATCCTGTACGTACGAGGGTCCTAGGCCGCATAGGGCTTTAAAGGTCAAAAGCAGCACCTTAAACCTGACCCTATACTCCACCGGGAGCCAGTGCAGCTGGTAGAGCACTGGGTGAATATGCTCCCATGGCAAGGACCCCGTGAGCAGCCTCACTGCAACATTCTGCACCTGCTGGAGTTTCTGGGATAGTTTCAAGGGCAGCCCCATGTAGAGCGAGTTACAGTAGGCAAGCCTGGAGGTGACCGTTGCATGGATCACTGTGGCCAGGGCAGGAAAGGTAAGGGACCAATCATAAATAAAGAAAATAAAAAGCAGTCTTCTTGAAGGAGGGGTGTGATTTAGGACAAAGAAAGGGTGGGATCTCTGGTAGATCTGAGATTCACAGCTGAGCTGGGGGAGCCCACAGCTAGACAAAAAAGGAACAGGAGTTGTCAAAGGTTTGAGAGAGGCTTCCAGTCAAGACGCCAAGCCATTGGCAAAGCTGTGCCATGGCTGGCTCTCCTGACCGCATTCTCGGTCCCTCGTGCGGATGAGCTGTAAAAAATTCATTACCCTCCCATCCCAACAGTTGCTTGTTGTTTCCAAATAAGACAATCTATCCGATTCAGAAAAACACCAAAGCAAACAATTTGTCTCATAAAAAGCTGGCAGAGGATTCCTGTTGACAAGAGGGGAAAGTGGGAGGGGAAAGGCAAGGGGGGGAGAGCAGAAGAGACGGCTGCTTGAGTTTGCAAAATGGAATCGCTCATCACGGCTGCTCAGCCAACCTGAAAGAATACACAACGCTGCTCAAAAGAACAGGAGCCAAACACGAGGAACCTGAACTGCCGCGAGGGCTTTCCCCCTCCCTGTTTTGTTTATTATGCAACAACTCTTCCAAGGCCCAGGACCCTGGATATTTTGACTCTCAATGTCTGATGCTTTGAAACAATGAATAAACTCAGCAGATGCCACATTTTCACACACACATCTCCAGCCAAGCAGGAGAGAAACCTACCAAAACAGAACTACAGAATAGGGTTAATTCTCACATATGGTAGATGAGGTACTAGGTTTCCCTGAACACTTACTTCTGTAATTGGACCTTTGGTCCATCATGTTCAATATTGTCTGCACTGACTGGCAGCACCTCTCCAGGGTTTCACACCAGGTTCTCTCCCAACTTTACCTGGAGATGCTGGAGACTGAACTGGTGACTAGCACTGAGCTACAACCCTTCTCCTCAAATTTAAAACTTTAAGGTTTATGGAGATGAAATGGGTACTTTTGTAATGTTGGAAAAGCAAGTTCAATGATAATGTCCAACCTTACTCTGCTTTCAACCTGCTGTAACAGTATTTCTTTACGCTCTTTATCTTTGGTTTATTTTGTAAATAAATAAATGAGGGATTTAAGACCTTCATGTAGAAGACTTGAAAACTAAAGCATCATTTCACATGCTCAACACAAGTAAACTACAAGCCAGGTGTATTTCAATGCGGATCTTTGGCAACAAGGATCTAAACATGCATTTCATGATGCCAAACATTTTCACTGGGCCTGCACATCTGTTGTAACGTCACTGCAATGCCAAGGTAACCTGGCTTTCTACTTTTGTTTCAGTGTAGCAAGTAGACACATCAACCGTGAGGGGCCGTTAAGGACAGCTGCCTAGAAGCCAGCCAAATTTACCTGGCGTTCTATCAAATTAAGTTGTCCTGTTACTTGCAAGGACTTCCACCTGTACAATAGGACTTCCTCTTTCCACACATTCCCATGCACACACACCCCCAGATCTGTTCAGGGGTCTTCCCCAACCCTTTGGGCAAACGGGGGGAGGTGAGGGGTGCATGAAGAGAGCAAGTTGCATTGCACAGGGACCTCTAAATCACCCAGGACAGTGATGTTCTTGTGGCAGCAGATCAGGGACATAAAGAGCCCCTCTGACCTGCACATTTATGCATGTTTAAGCTTAGCACTCTCTAGAAAGGGAACAGCAGCTTGAAGGCTCAGAAGAAGAAATATCTGCCTCCAAATGCCTCTCCCAGCCTAATAATAAAAAGGAGCCTATTATTAGATATCAGGCACCCTCCTAACCTCTTCCCTAAAATAGGAGCTTGCAAAGGTCAGAAAACAGCCCCAAAAGAAATCCCCAAGGCATACAGATGGGATAAGCACACACAAAAGTTTTGAGGCAGAAGTGAACCATCCAAACTAACATTTCATCTTGCCTTGTGTTTCGTGACCCCCTTTTCCCTTTGAAGATGAATGTCTTCTTATTGATGGAATTCACAGGGGTAAACAGAGACAAAGAGTTGGCTGCATTTGTCAGCAATGAATTTGTAGCCATTGCTACCACGGTGTAATCCACTGAAGAATTTCTGGAATGGTTTGGGTAATGTTGGCTTAGGACAGCTCTGCTGTACAGGTCAAGGCCAGGGATCCACATGGCAAGGCAGGTGGGTGGGCTGCCTGCAGGACTGACAGGTGCACACCCATGGGTGGGATATGCCTCTCACCTTCTATCACCTCCCAGGCACGTCAACAGTGGCAGGTTCCCACGGGAATACAGCGCAGCAAAGGCAAGTTGCTTGTGCTTTGACTGACGGCAAGACATGTGGGCTGTGGCCATCCCTGAGCTACAGGTGTCTTTTGCAGAACTGCAGACTTATCTCGCCAAGAGACTGCAGGATGCAGCAACAGTGTCTGTGTTATTCCACACATCCCCAGAGGGTAAGAAGCTCCAGGTGCAGCACGCCTAAAATTAGTTGTGTTTGGATCAAAGCATTCTGGAGACACATATGGTGTCCTTGAAATATTTGCTTTATTTACAAATGTACGGGGAGAATGGAAGTGGAGACAAACAGGCATTCCTACAAGGCAAGAGGGAAGATCCCTGGGAAATGGACTTGGGCAGTCTCCAGGCTTCAGCCTTTCCTCCCTCCTTTCAGCTAACAGCTGCCAAATTCTCAGTTCTCTTTCTTTTCCATATTAAAACCCCAAACTACCTCTCTTCATTTTCCTCAGCCTCCCCCTCTCCCTCTCCCCCCCACACCTGCCCCCACTTTTTACTTGCAAGACCCAGTAGGTATTTTGGTGGTGGATTCTATTCCCTTGGAGGTTTTTGAGCAGAGGTTGGATGGCCATCTGTCATGGATGCTTTAGTTGAGATTCCTGCATTGCAGGGGATTGGACTAAATAACTCTCAGAGTTCCTTCCAACTGTGGAAGTAAGGAACTTTCTTCCTCTTTAGCCCAGGCTTACAGTTGGCATGGTTAGGAAGGAGAACTATTTGCTGCTTCCCCTCGTGCAGCTAAAAGTCTTGGACAGGTCCTCCTGAGCAAGAATGAGGAAAAGTCCCGCGCCTTAGAACCTGGAACTAAGAGCTAGAAAAGCAAGTAATTCCTGTTTCAACTTGAGGTTTAAATTTACTTGCAGATGTGCCTTCCCAACATCTCCTGTGTGCATACAACATGGTCCTTTATAATAATCTCATCCCTATTACATCTTATCTTCAAGTTCCTCGCTATGATTAGCATTCCACAAACATCATTAGTGGTATGGCCTCTGTGGCAGAAGGAAAATCCACACAAATCCATTTTCCGTAATTTAATTTTTAGAGCCTTTCTGTTTCATTTATTTTTAGAACAATGAACAGTCAATGCGTTATTCATATGTTGTGGGAAATCAAGACACCTTCCCCCATAAAAGAAGCACTTCTGTTGCAGGGATATACTAGCTATATATGTGTCTTATTAGCTGCCATTCGCCTACAAGCGCACCCTCCCACTCCTGCAGAGGATAAAGCAAGCCAGGCCACCCATCTGCAGGTTCAAGGACTAGCTTTAAAGCTAAGCAGGAAGTAGGCTGAATGTTGCAATGAGGCATGGCATTTAAAAAACTTGGATTCGGCCCATGCATCTTTGTGACATTTGTAGGTGGGGGTGGGGTGCTTTAGTGGCCTGTGACATTTGGAACAGTCAGCTAGGAACTTCCTGCACACCCACCCCCAAAACTCCGATTCCTCTCTGACCGGACACAGCTTTGGGTAGCTGGGCTCTGATAGCTCCTAAACAGGATGATCTTCCTGACAGAATGTATAAGAGGCAAGACCTGGAAGAAAAGCAGTCCCTGCTGCCAGCAGGAAGTGAAAGAAAGTATTCATGGAGGAGGTTGGCACTTTGCCCGGCCTGCACCAGTGAGAATTGGATGGACAAATGGAATAATTGAGCAGTTATGGTACTAGAGCCACTTCATTCACATATATTTGTATACTGCCACACACAAAACATTTTGATGCTGGTTTAATATTGTGATTTATTGACAATATATGGTTGTTAGTACACTAAGGGAAAAGGGATGCTGCAGTCTGATACAATCCACTGATGAAAATGTGGGAGAAGGAAGGAGGAAACTGAATGGGGTAAGCAAGGCCAGGGCTTGCCATGGCTTCTGCATTTAATCAGAGAACCCATGGTTTGTGATCACTCCTGAATCAGGATGTGGGCCCAGTGTGGATGTTAGCTTATGGACATGAGCAGTCAGGAGCCTTGGGCCCCTGGACTCTCCCTCCCCTCCCCATCTCCAGGACAGTATGATCCTGGCTTGTTTAAACAAACCATAAACTAACCAACGTATGTAATAAGAAGCTTCCTTTAAACAGGAACTGAAAGTATCCAATCTTCTCATCACAGCTGCGCCAGAGGAGAAGGATGAGCACATGGAGCCAAGGCACGCTGCTGCTCATGGACATAACGATATTATTTATGCACATAATCAGAGCAGCAGTATCTTTGTTCTTTAGTGCAAGGGTTTTAGGGATTGGTGTTTCTGACAGAAATCACATTGCCTGTCACCAATTATTGTCCCTAATGCAGGATCCAGGAATACACTTGATTCAGCTGCAGCCTATCCTGCCTCCCTGCTGAATATATGCGGACAGTGCAAGGCTTTGTAAAACAAACAAACAAACAAAGCTACATGCAAAAAAATAAATTGTCACAGCTTTTTCTAATGTATACTTAAAACATCTTAGGGGCTGAGCTGCAACCATTCTGATGTTGTTGTACTACAATGCCCATCTTCTCTATCGCCAATGACTGATGGGAGTTGGAATCCAACAACATTTGGAGGACCATGGCTTCCTTAACCCTAAAATAAAAATGTAATGCACAAAGTAGACCCTAGAAAGCAGTGGACTCTGCCTAAGGGTTTTCCATTTGTCAGTATAATATTTCTACTTTCAGCACACAGTGTCCTGGCCCTATGGTCTCCACCATGTTCCTCCTCTTTTTTGTGGGGAGGAAATTTTTGGAATGGAATATTTGAACATCATCACATATGGCATATACTGGCATATCCCTGGTTCTATGCAATCCCAGCACAAGTGTTTCATTGGAGGAGGGTGCCACCCATTTACTGTGCCAACTTGAAATGACAACAGTACCCCATCACCAATCAGTGCTACAATAGAAAACATTCAAACAAGAAAATACACCCAGCTGGCAGCAACTCTCACTGTTTGGCAGGAGAACAGTAAAGAGGTGCCATTTATGGGAGGCAGAGTGCTCTCTTAATAACAGCAATAAAGGAAGGCACTTATATAGCACTTTACATGTTCACAGTGCTGAAAAAACATTAATTTCGTGCAGCACAGAGTTAATTAACACAGTCTCTCTTTGCCACAGAAAGAGGGGGACAGCCATTTGGCATTCTGATGAGAGCACCAAGTACTAACGGTCTTCATGAGCCCCAGCCTGCTCCACTAATCACTGTCTCCATTTCACAAGCAATGGTTGTGCTTAATACTATTTGAGACACACCAGCATTGCAACTGTATTGTGCATAAAAGCCATTTGTTTGACAAAGCCTATGGAGCTGAGAGTTGGAATAAAAACCATCTAGTGCTGTAAACAGGGAGTAATATTATCGCCATCTATCCATGAAGATGTCCAACAGCTTCCTCTGTTCCTGTTTTCAGACAGGTGTCGGGGGAAAATTATTGTCCTGGAAGGCATTTTATAACGGATTTCTGTTGTTTTAAATGTTGGTTTCTGGTTCAAACACTGCTGGGATTTTATATTTGTTTTATATTTGATCTATTTTAAGCTTTGTTTTTATTGTTATATTTTGGTTTGCTTTTGCAAACCATTTTGAAAAATTATTTTTAAAAAGCAGGATATGATTAATCCAAAGTAACTAAATATGTAAATATATTTGGCTACCTGGATTTCCAAAACTTTCAAAATCATTATCTACAGCCCACCCCCCAATAAAGCATGCACCCCCCAGCAACCAGTTTGGGGAAAGAGACTCTGGGGCAGGCGTCCCCAACTTTTTTTTAATCTGAGAGAATATTCAGAAATCTGAGAAACTGTCATGGGCACCACAATGAAATGGTTGCCATGTGGGGGACTGCGTAGTCACAAGGACTGCTGGGGGGGGCAGGCTGCAAAAGCAATGAAGAACGAATAACAAGAACACAAATACAACCACCAACCCCCAAGAAGTAGGCAGAACACTTAAAAAAAAAACCTGGAACAAAGATGCAACACACACACCCAAAACTAAAACCCACGCACAAAGAAAACACCCCTACAAAAAACCTCAAGCAAAACACAAACCTAGCCCCCTCCCCCAAACAAGCAAAATAAAAAACCAGGCCAAAATAAACTGGCAAAGCACCCCCTCCCCAATGTCTCTACAAGTGATACACACAGCCCAACTCACCTGCTCGCATAATCACCCCAAAACAAACAGATGTTTTCACCCCAAAACACACAAAATATATACACGCACCAAACAAAACACGCTACCCAACTCTCACAAGAACACACAAGAGACAGGCAAAGCACCCCCTGGACACTGCCTGCTAGTCCATCCCCCAAGCATAGCAGACTGGGTCCATCCTGAAGAGTTTTCCAGGGGAGGCTGGAAGGCAAAGCCCTGGCTGCCAGCTGCCCCACCCTCTTCCTTTCCCTTCCCAATTCACTGTCTTACTAGCCCAGCCTCAAGCTAAGCTAAAAGAAAAAGTGAGGGTGAATAGGAAAATGTGCTGTAAAAAAAACTCCAAACATTAAAATCAGCAGGGACAGAGGGCCTCTCAGCTGGTAGCTAAGAAGGTACCAGGGGATGTCCATGGACACCAAAATTGTGGCCCCATTTTGATATATTCAGATGCATACTTTTTATATTTGGGGATGTGCAGTGCCAGTGTATTTTTCATTCCAGTTTAAGTCTGATCCCCCATCTGCTTCCTAAGATTTGCATCAAAGCAGGAGTGTGTGGAATTAAAGCGGTATGCTGTTCTCACATTACAAAATACACACACTGTGCTCATATGGAAATGTAGCACATGCATCAGATTAGGTTGGAGGGGGAAAGAGCCTTGCAATCAACAGTATTTAGATTTCTGAAACGCTGGCAACTACACAGGCGTACCACTTGGGTCCCTTTCCTCTGAGGCAATTCTCAGAGAAGAAAATACAGTGGTACCTCTGGTTAAGAACTTAATTTGTTCCGGAGGTCCGTTCTTAACCTGAAACTGTTCTTAACCTGAGGTACCACTTTAGTTAATGGGGCCTCCCGATGCTGCCGTACTGCCGCCACACAATTTCTGTTCTCATCCTGAAGCAAAGATACTAACCCGAGGTACTATTTCTGGGTTAGCGGAGCCTGTAACCTGAAGCGTCTGTAACCTGAAGCGTCTGTAACCCGAGGTACCACTGTCTGTGAAGATCTCCACCAAATAACTAGCTCCTGAAGCACAGGAGGACCCTGTGGTTTAAGATGCAAGCACACGGGATGCGTGTGAAGCTTCTCCATGCTGTATCTGTCCCTGGTGGCAAGAGTCGGGAGCATGCCAGCCTCTCCAGGGAGCGCCCTCCCCCAGGGGAGCCTCAGCCTTAATGCTCAGCTGTGCAGTCCTGGCCAAGGGATGCTGGGGGTCTTTTCTGTGACCCGAGTTCACATTAGCTGTGCCGAACTGTCAGGTCAAGTCCATCAGCTGCTTATCCGCCTGCAGGTCTGCCACCTCCACAGCAAGGGTGTCCCATAGTGCAATGTCATGCAGAGGAATTACACAATTATAGAATTAGGCTAAGCTTATAGCTCAGGAGCACAGAGCTCCTGTAAAGCCATCCGGGTGCAAAGTAGGAGGAGAGGAGAGGAGAGGAGACTCACAATTAGGCTTAGGGAGCATAAGGCCCATCTTTACCATTTGGGGGAGCCACAGCTCTAATCTGCAGACTGGAATTTGTCTCTCCTTCTCTCTGTGTGTGTTTTGCCTCTGTTGTCCCTGTAGGTAACAGTGGTATGTGGAAACTCTGCATACCCAGTGGAAATCTGCCTATGCCATCCTTCCCCCCCCCCCCAGCTATCCTGATTCTTAGTTTAAAGATTAGGAATCCATGCTTAAAATCCTGATGAATGAACAGAGTGGAAAATTTGACAAGTAAGACTGCTCTGGGATCCACTTGATCAAAAAGAGTGGAATGTGAGAATAGAGTGTTTATAAAGAAATAAGGAAGATGTAAAAACTTGGTGATGTAAGAACTGAGTGAGCAAAATGCTGAAAAAGAAGTAGAAGAGTTTGGATTTGATATCCCGCTTTATCACTACCCAAAGGAGTCTCAAAGTGGCTAACATTCTCCTTTCCCTTCCTCCCCAACAACAAACACTCTGTGAGGTGACTGAAGCTGAGAGACTTCAAAGAAGTGTGACTGGCCCAAGGTCACCCAGCAGCTGCATGTGGAGGAGCGGAGACGCGAACCCGGTTCCCAAGATTAAGAGTCTATCGCTCTTAACCACTACACCACACTGGCTCTGTGCCACTATGCCCACACTGGTATGGGCATATTGGCCCTTTAGAACAGAGGTGGAGAATTTCTGGCCCCTGGACTTGATAGAACCCTAGTTGGAGGCTTCCCAGTGCAGCCCCACAAGGCGTCTCCTACTAGCCCCACTCCCTCCTGCTAGATTTCTGTGCTGGTTTCAGGAAAGAGATGAACAACAGCAAATGGAAGCACTGATGTCCCCACAGACCTGCAATTTACCTTGCCAAATTAGTCTTAGTCAGATTTTGCGGGGAGCCAGGACAGAACTTAGAGGGTCATGGATGCAACCTGGCAGACACTGCAATTTATCTGCTTTTAGATCCCAGTGCTGTTTGTTGGGATCACATTGACTTCAGGTCTTGGTTTCGGTCTCCAAAATGGCCCTGTTTTCACATACATCTGGAAGACCACTGCTCAGCCCAGAGGCCCCTCACCTGTTCCCTCCTTCCCTCCCATCACCAGAAGCACAATGCCTTTGACCCTAATGAACAGCTGGGACCAGGAGTGAGGGGAAGTAGTGGTTCTTCCTAGTTTCAGAAGAACCTGCCCAGCAGAAAAGTAGGACTGGTATAGCAGCTATGCCTTCCTGTGTAAGTGTAACTCCTGGGGAGTTTGAAGGGGTTTGCCCTACTAGTTGGTATTGTATTTCTGCTACCTACTCAACAAGCTCTCCTGTGTCTGAATGTAAAGAGGTGGAACTTAGTCTCATTGGCAAGTGTCAGTTCACCAAACCTGCTGCACATGGCTGAATTTGTGAACTGAATGCTCACTTCTTGCTTAAAATGGCTGTGAAATTAAAAAATATCTCAGTAGAAATTCTGAACCACGCAAGCTTCTGCGGTACCCCTAATCTGAATGGCAGCCGTCCTGCCACATTCCTTGGAGGACCCATCCTGTGATCACGCTGAGCTCAGCATGCATGCATACAAAAACAAGGCTCTTAAACCATACAAAGGAAGTGGGGAAACCACTGCTAATTAAGTTGTGCCAATTAAGTGCTGAGGTATGGCTGACTCAGCTTCCACCCTTTCCTGGATTAGTCAAGGCAACGGGAGGCTAGGTTACCTTGACCAAGAATCAGGTCATTATCTCACAAGAAAGGAAATATTATGCTAAAAAATCTGACAGATCCTCGTGAAGCCAAGACAAGCCTTGCACAAAGGTGACATAAGGCGCTTTGGCCCCTGCGAAGTGTAGGTTGAGTTCTGTCTACTCTCTCCTCTGTAGTAATTTGACTTCAGGCTATGTAATATTAAGGCACAAACTAGAATGAACCGGTTACTGTAAGCTGGGCTTCTGTCCCAGTTTTAAAGAGACCAGGCAGATATTTTTGTGCTTCCGGGAGTGAGTGATAGATCTGAGATGAGCAACACCAGAGGGCCAAAATATCATCCCTCCCCCTGGCATTCTTTTTTCAGATCACTTCTTAGTTTACTTTCCCCCTCCCCCTCCAATCTTGGTTTTGCAGCCAGGTAAGGGCCGCAGAGGTGCGCCTTTATAGCACCAGAACAGTCAGAGGAAAGAATGAGGCACGCGTCTTGCAAGATTCCACATGACCTTTGCTGCAGTTCACATGCCTCAAACTCATGACTGACTATTCTGATATTACAAAGCTGTGAGTGTGTACACCCATTATTGAGTGGCTTAGTTCTGCTGATTCCTTTCAATCTGAAAGGGAGGAATAGAGATACACGCAATACAAGATGGGCACAATCCTGGCACGAAAATAAGGGCATCAACCCTAGAGTGCTTCTTCTTCTTTTTTTTTAATGATATTTATTGAATTTTTTTTAAAAAAAATTACAGAAAAAGACAAAGCAGAGAAAGGAAAAAGAGAAAAACAAAAAAGAGAAAGAAAAAAAAACCACATCCAACAATACAAATTCAAAAAACAAAAATACACCACAAACAGATAAAAATAAAACCATCATTCTCAAATCTTCAACTTTCATTACCTTCTTTCTTTGACCTCCTCCTCCTCCCTTTTTTGTATCCCAGTTAATAATTATCGCAGCAAATCCTTTCCATATTTCATAATATTCTGTCATTACATTACCTTAATCTATTTTCATCTTATCTTATAAAAAACCTTAAAACTTAAAACTTAAATCTTATTTTTACCCACTTCTCATAACCCTTAAATCTCTTCCATGTCCCTTCCGCAGCTCTTCTTCATATTCACCTTTCACTCGTGGGAACTCCAGCTTGGTAATGTTTTTGACCCTTTTCAACAAATCAGCCCCTTTTCCATAGTCCAGACTAAACTCCATGTGGTATTTAAAAACATGTTTCAGAATCCCTCCAAAACTGAGAGCCCCCACAGCTCCAAACATCTCACGGCCCATTGCCAGACACGGAAAGTCCAAACATCCCTGCATAGGGGGGTCTATCCAACCCCCCATTTCCAAACCAGTCCAAACTTTATCTTTCCTAATCTGGCTTTTTCCAAGTTCATTTGTCAAATCCAAAATCTCATGTTCCTGCTGGGCCGCAGCTCTCTCCATCTCTGGCGCCCAAGATTCCGCAACATCCTCTTCTCTCATCTGTTCTGTCAGGGCACACTCCTGATTTAATTCCTGGGTGGGCTCCATATAGTTTCCCACTGCCTGTTCAAAAATTCTGACCGCATTAGTCATCAAATCCGTCTTCTCAGTTAACTGTTCCAGTAGAGCATTTGTTTTACAGAGAGCACACAACAGAGCTTCTGAATACATTGTCCTACAAGGTCACAAGCCTTTTCCCACGATTGTAATCTGTGACAGCTGCAAGCTCCCTGGAATTAGTTACAGTTTCCCAGTCTCCCTCTAGGGGGAAAACTTCTAAGTGTTCTTGCAACAAAGTTTCTTTTTTGAGATATTTTTTCAATATTTGTTCCTTTAAAATGCGAAAGGAAACAGTGGAATCACTATGTTTCTCTTCTTTTAGCTATCTGTCAAAAATGTTTGTCTCTGGTCAATGAGCTTCTGGTCAATGAGTCCTGACACCCCGCTCCAGGATCAGGACGGTGGAAAGTTACTTTACTTTAAACTCACTTCTGCAGGTTTAAACAGTCCAAAAAAGATCCCCCTTCTTCTCCTGCTGCCGAAGGGGGGTTCAAGGATTTTAAATGATGAAAGCCAAACCTTTAGAAGCGATTTTCTGAGCTCTAGTTTATGTTGTCTTTGCTTTATTCTGTCTACAAAGAAACGGAAGGCTGACTTCCTGTTTAGACCTTCCCGTTTCAGTACCAAACTGAAGTAATTTTTTAAGTCCAATTCCTTTCTGCTCGCAAGTCCTTATTTAAAGTCCAATTGTTCAAAGTTTAAGTACTCACGGGTGCTTATTTTAGAAGCCAAATTGTCCCAGGAAAAAGGCAGCGCTCTCCGGCAACGGCTATGCGGCTTCGCTCCACAGAAATAGCAGTTGACTCACAGCATCGCGCCGCTTCCCCCTCTTCGCTTCGGAGTGGGTTCCTTTGCGGGTTGGGGGGGCCCTAAGGGTGCCCGCCGAGTCCCATGGTCACCGGCTTCATCCGCCTGTGATTTTTAAAAGGGTCCTCGCTTCGCCGTAGCAGAAAAGACCCGTTTCACGCGGAGCTAGTCCCTCCAGTTCAGAGGGAGTCCGCCATTGCCGATGGCGCCACCCCGGAAGTCTGAACCCTAGAGTGCTTCAGAGAGAAAGCTAAACTATACCATTCTCCTTTCTTATCACTTTGGGCATATATCAAAAAGGTTCTCACAATAACTCTGTGGTCGTGCTTTGAGCTCTCTTTTTGGAATGCATGTGGGCTGTAATGTGCCACTGGTATTTTTCCAGCCCCCTCCAGACACTGGACTGCAGCTCCAATCATTCCTGCCATGCTGACTGAGACTGATGGGAGTTAAGAGTCCAACAATATCTAGGGAAACAGTTTATTCATTCCATCCCTGTGTGATATGCACGTTTGTTTTGGTTTTTGTTGGTTGTCAACAAAGTTAACACAGTCAACTTCCAATACAATGCAATTGGAACTTAGTGAAGAGGAGTTTGAACAAGCCCTGTTTGGTGACTGCAATATCAAGTGATGTGTGAGTGGGTCACAAGAAAAGCAGCACCAGACATAGATCTTTCACATCTCTTCACATCACTTCAAAAAGCAAACGGTTTTTCAATGGAGTCAGTTCATACATTCCGCTGCCTCTTGTTAAGGACTGGTTCACACATGCATGCTCAACACTAGACCACTGCAATATAAATTGATGACTAGTGTGTATTAATGACCCCTCCCAGAAATTAGCACTACACAAAGAACTTTTTGGGTTTCTTCACATCATATCTGGTTCATGCATTCAGTTGCCCTTCATAATCAAACATACTAGAATCATAGAATCATAGAGTTGGAAGAGACCACAAGGGCCATCGAGTCCAACCCCCTGCCAAGCAGGAAACACCATCAGAGCACTCCTGACATATGGTTGTCAAGCCTCTGCTTAAAGACCTCCAAAGAAGGAGACTCCACCACACTCCTTGGCAGCAAATTCCACTGTCAAACAGCTCTTACTGTCAGGAAGTTCTTCCTAATGTTTAGGTGGAATCTTCTTTCTTGTAGTTTGGATCCATTGCTCCGTGTCCGCTTCTCTGGAGCAGCAGAAAACAACCTTTCTCCCTCCTCTATGTGACATCCTTTTATATATTTGAACATGGCTATCATATCACCCCTTAACCTCCTCTTCTCCAGGCTAAACATGCCCAGCTCCCTTAGCCGTTCCTCATAAGGCATCGTTTGCAGGCCTTTGACCATTTTGGTTGCCCTCCTCTGGACACGTTCCAGTTTGTCAGTGTCCTTCTTGAACTGTGGTGCCCACTAGATAGGATTCAACTAACATGACCTGCTAAGGGATAACATGCAAGGATTTCCACTATCACAATAAGCTTCCCCTCCCCATGCTCGCACCCTGCACCCCCTAAAATTGGCTCAGTGGGTCAGGAGAACCATCAGGACAGCTTGCAAAAGGAGGACCAGGAAAACCATTCCATCAGGCAAGCAGAAATGATTGCACTGATGGAGCGCTCTGCTTTGTGCTACAATGAACTCCTCCTGCTGTGATCGCCGAAGTGCTGAAAAATCAAGTGATGCTGCACGCATGTGCAGATCAGGACTTAGGAGTCTCAACTCAACTGGCATCATCTGTCCTGTCTCACAGCCCGTGTTCAGTAGTGAAGAAAAGAAATGAAGTGGGATGGATTTTTTCCAAGCTGGACCAGGCTGAATTACATCCTCAGGATTTCCATACCAGTCCATGCATGCAACTTCCCTGATCCTTCATCCCCCTCATCTGTAGCACCCATTGCTCTCCCAGCCCTTTGTACCTTTTGAATGCCTTGCTAATTGTGCTCACTTTACCTGTGACCCTGGGAACAGCCCAGGAAGCTAGATCACCAGAGGTGACAGACATGTGTAACAACATACTAGGCCACCTACCTGCTCCTTATTATGACTTCATGCTTTAAAAGAGCCTTTGACCAACCAGGGCTCCTCCAGATATTTTGGACAACAAGTCCCATCAGCCCCAGTCAGCAGGACTATGCTGTGCAGCTTCCTAATGATCTGCGATATTGGAGCATCCCTGCTTATGGTTCAAACCTTTGGGCAAGTTGCTTGAGACAAACAACCGAGTAGTTGCCCCTCTACTCAGGAGTGGGGAGCCCTTTTCAACCCATTCCACTAACATTTTACACTAGCGCTTTGTGCTAGCACAAAGGGATTTCTCCCCTCTGCTCTGCGCATGCGCACTCCGTGCCCAACCGAAATCTGTTCCAGAGGTTTGCGTGGAAAGAACAGATTTAGGGTGAGGAAGGGGAAGAACATTCCATGGTGCAAGGAGACATCCTTGCTCTGATGTAACGTTCACCTTAGTGCTGTGTTGAATACAACCCAAAGTTTTACTAAGTCCAATGGAATTTCCGTCCTTAGTGGCCTAAGCATTGCGGTGACACCCACACCCACTTCATTGTCACAATATTTCGCTCAAAAGCAACCACCACCCATTTCCACCCGGATGCTTTTCATGCTATCTGGAATACATGAGGCTATCCCTGCAGCAGACATAGAAGGTAAGTGAGGCCAGAGGGCTTAATAACTGAGCAGGGATTTGAATCAGGGTCTCCATGGTCTAAGTCCAGCACTCTATCCACCTCACTACACTGGCTCTCACATGCAATTTCACTCAGCACATTATTACTCCATGGAGCAACTAAATCATCCAATTCACAACATTCCACCTAAGCTGCCAGCTGGATATGACACAAGGAAGTTCCCAAGCTGTTGGCAATGTCCATCAGCCATTTGTTCCTCGCATCCATCAGTCAGGGGTGCTTTGCCCATGAACTCTGCTTCTGCCAGTAGTGTCTGAAAAACTTTGTGTCCTAATTCTTCTAAAAGCCAGCTATGCTTCTGACTAACACCACATGACTCTGGAAACAGAAGTACAGCAGATTAATTATGCACCGTATGACGACTTTTTCTTTGGGGTTGTTGAAACCTGCTGGCTAATCAATTGCAGGGGCTCGACCTCAAATGTTCACAGTTTGAGAATGAATAATACTCCTCATTTGTTCTCACCGCCTCGCTAGTGGCTTTATAAGCTTCCCATCACATCTCCCCACCCCTCTCCCTCTTGCTTATATGCTACAATAACCATTGCAATAAAATAAGAAGCAAGTCGATGCGGGCTAGTCCCTCCCACACCAAGCACATCTTGATTGCCACATGCAAGAGAGCTGGACGTGGGCATGGATTCTTTACACACACACACACACACACACAAACAAACAAACACACACTTGCCAGTATGTTGCATCATCTTCAGGATCATTAGGCGTGCCAACTTATGTTTTGTGTGCTTTGTTTCCTGCACTTGTTTAAGCCAACTAATAAAAGACAAATGCCACAGTGTTGACAGAAGCACACCTACAAAGCAAGGCTGCAGATGTACAACCCAAAACATAGTTGAACGATCATTCTTCCCCCTCCCAAACTCAACAAGATTCACTCTTTAGGTCAAATCGCTGCATCTAATATGACAATTTAGAAGCACTTCATCTTCTACACTACAGCATAGTTGCCTGACAGGTTAATATTCTTCTGAGCTGCCTCCTCTCTCTTGCAGATAAGAACAGAGGGGCCCAAACAGACAAAGGTGTGTCGTGAACTGAATACAAGCCAAGCACTTGCACCCTTCTTCCCTTGCCTCTTACTCCACCCAATAGTCTGAGCCAGATCACTGGGGGGTGGGGGTGGCAAATCCTGTAGAATTCTGCAATGAGTGAACCACTGTACCTTGCTCTATAAACAGCTCGGCACTAAGAATTTCCTATCGCAGGCCAAGAGTTAAAATTCCTATGAACCAGTAAAACAGCCTCAGCCAACCTAGTGCTTTCCAACTGTTTTGGACCACAAGTCCCATCAGTCCCAGCCAATTGGAAAGCACCAGGTTGCCTAAGGCTGCAGTAAAAGAGAATGGGTGATTCTGAAGATATATGGATATATACATTTGGATGCTGTGATTTGACATGGGCTGGAAGCCAGATCTCAAAACACAGATCAGGCCCTACTGGAAAGTCCATTGTTGCATGAAGGTGGCTCACCTCAGCAAAGAGGACCAAAAAGAAAAAAAGCAGGGACAACTCACCTGCAGGGAGCATCAAGGTGACAAATCAAACAGGACAGGCTGTCAGTAGGAATGAAGGCCAGCAGCACCCCACTGAACCACTGACAATCCTCACTGAGCCTGCACTTACATTGAACTAATTGGTAGTTTGGGGCACATCATGCCTTCCTCTCCCCTGCTACCTGTCTGCAAGCCTGACAGTGAGACCACAGGGGCTGGAAAGGTGCCCGTCTGAATCATTATCAAGCAGACTTCACAGTGAACCAAACCCATCCCCCCACCCAGCTGTGGTGCAACATCAGAGCCACAAGCCAGCTTTGAAAGAAGACCAAAAATATAGGGAGAGATTTGTTAGGGACCATTTCCCAAACAGGTGGTCTTGGTAATCCACATACTTCAACTCAGGTCATGACTGGACTACAGGCAAAATGATCGCTCTTTGGTACAGGGCTGGTACTCAGTACTCACAGCCAAATTGCACCTGAGTCTCTGCTCTTTTTCCGGGGTTACTATATGAGAAATACATCTGTGTCTGTGTGTGGTTGGGTTGTTGTGCAGCAAATGGGGGGCCCTTAGCTATGACTTTTCATCTCTATGAATTTTTTTAAAAAAACATTTGATAGAATTTTTTTGGATTAGGAATTGCATCTTTTATTTTTTTTAAAAATAGTGCATCTCATCATTACAGCTGCCACAAAACACACCTGAAGGTGACTGGGAAAGGGTTTTAATTCCAATGGGAAGATTTACAGGATGTCCATGTATGTACGGGATGTCCTTTTAGCAGCTCATCAGGTTTGATTTAGCTTCAGCTCAGGAAGATAAAACTGTATTGGACTTGCAGCCTGCTTTACCAATGGAAGAAGTTACAGTGCAATGGCGAGCAGTGTGCATCCTTTACCACATGCTTCAGGTCACCTCCTGAACCATGGAAAACCAGAGAAGATGCATCTTCACACTCAACAGATTTAGAACCAAGACACTGCTCTACAACTCTATTCAAAACAATATTAACCAAGCTACCTTACAATATTGATCAAGCTGAAAAATGCTTTAGGTAAGGTAGAGATTACTCCAGGCATTTAGAGCTCTCTCTTAAAAGACTGCCCTTTCTCTTTTTGCCTGTTCCATCTCCTTGGAACACCAAGGGCGGGTGTTCTCTCTATTCCTTTAACCTCACCTGTAAGCCTACCTTTTCCATTCAGTTGAAACTGAAATGTTGCCCAAATAGCTGCAACCTTGTCTATTTAATCTGGATTTTTAGATGCCACCTTTCCTCCGAGGAAGTCAAAGTGGTGCACTCCCGTGTGCTTTAATAACCCATAATAACCCTGTGAGGTAGGTTAGTCTGAGGCATAGTGACTGGCCCATGATCACCCTGAGAGCTTCATAGCCAAGGAAGCAGTTGAATCAAGGTCTCCCTGGGGGTAGGGGTCTGTCCTGGAGGATGGTCTAAAAGAGTGGTTCCCAAACCTTCCCTACCTCCCATGGACCGCCTGTAAATCACTGGTAATCTTGGTGAACCACTCAATGACTTTCTGCCTCATGCACTGTGCTGGGTGTACTGGGTGCTTTTAAATTGTATTATTATTGCTTCTTTCTTTCTTTCTTTCTTTCTTTCTTTCTTTTTTCTTTCCTTTGCATTTCCATAGAATTCAAATTGCAATATGATAAAATACATTGTAAGGAATAAAAGAAGAAATAAGCATGCAATTAAAAATCAATATGGTTTTTTAATGTGATACCATGGACCACTTTAACAAAGCTCAAGATCACAGGCCACTGTTTGGTCAAAAAGGCATATGAAGCCATCACCTTGCTAAAGCTAAGTAGGTCTGGGTCTGATCAGTGCTTGGATGGGGGAACCACCCATGCATGCTCCCTTGGGCTGCATGATGGAAGAAAGGCCAGCTATATCATCACCCCTGAAAAGCCCAAACACTTTTATTTCCTTTACTTGGACCTTTATTTTTAAAACGGTCCAAAATATGTATAAAATTTTCAGCATTAAATAAGAACCTTCAGCACCCATCACTCTATAGTAGATTTAGAGAAGTACTCAGCATTTGAGCAACAAACACGTTTGGATGGAGAGAAGATCTTTGGCATGTTACAACACACAAGATTCAAATAAGCTCAGGTAGCTATACCTTTTCCCTCTCCAGCAACTCGTCTCCTGAACCCACAAACTATTATTATAGCATGTTGCACTTTATACTATTGTTGAGTGATTTAACATCAGCTATGATGCAAGGCAAAGTAGTTTAATGAATAAATGCAATGATTAGATTCCACACACACACACATTTTCCGCCTTCCGGGAACCTTTTCCACCTCAGTTTGGTTCCCAAGGAATCCCTGAACATGGCAGAGCATTCTGAGGTGTGTTTTAGAACTAATCATCAACTTATATTACTTGATGGTCATGTCTGTTGGGGTTCACCCTTCTGGGTGGCTGGAGCCAGAGGCAAAAGTAGGCAGAGAAACAAATACAAATTTCACCTTTGTACAGTTGGCTCGTTCCTACAAACATTCATGCATCCCTCTTTATCCTCCATCCAGGCAAGCAAAAGGCATTATCAGAGGACATGTTCCAGCCAGGCAAAAATGGCTGGGATGTAAAGAAGAGCCAGTGATAGGTGTGGACAGAGGAGAAGGGGTGTAGCCTCTATTGAATTCTGAGGGGCAGAGAGGCTTGGGGAGCCACATTTGACCTCCAGGCCACTGGTTCCACACCCATGCATTATTGTTATGTGGGTTTGCTCTGTCCTCCGCTCCACTCCTCCTGTGTTATGTCTAAACCAGGACAATTTCTAAAATTAATTCCAAAACTGGAGCATGCAGAGTCTTCAGGAGCTTTCAGTTCTGTAAATTCATTTACATCTTTTCCACTTCTAATGCACATGTGCCCTGAAACACTGACGGGGCTGTTTGGGGAGGGGGGGAAGGAAAGAAGGAAAGAGCAATCTGGATAAGATTCTATGTCTGATTGCATCAAGATTAAGAGTGTAAGAAAAGCCCTGCTGGGTCAAACAGAAGGTGAATCAAGTTCAGCATCCCATTTTCCACAGTGCCCAACAGGACATTGATGAGAAGCCCATAAGCAGGAAATGAGGGCTATAGCCCACTCTCCCACTGCTGTTTCCCAGCAACTGATGTTCCAAGGCAAGCTGCCTCTGAACCTGGATGCAGTATGTTGCCACCATGACTGGAGATTCACAGCAATCTGTAGCATAAAGAAATGGAACAATGGGGGATTCCAAATGCATTGTTTCCACTCTATAAACAAGCCCAAGTAACCTGAAACTAAAAAAAATCCAGGTAGACCTCTGAGCGAGAATGTCAGAAGACTGAAATGAGAATATTTTGGGTTCAGCCACTCCCTTTCTGAATGACAATTTGATAGCAATAGGAATAAGACAGTGCACAGGCATTACTGTAGCTTTGTGCTGCTTCACAAGGCTGGAAGGTTTGTGCGTTCACGACAACGAGGAGCTGAGAAATGTGCCCGAGATAAATGCAACTGTTAGACCTTAACAAAGCCTTTGTCTTCTAACCAATGTGACAAGGTCATGCCTGATAACAGATCTCAGCTACAGGGAGGAGGGCAAGGGATTTTGATGAAAACAGGACAAAAATGCCAGCACTGACATCCACAGCAAAATAAATTCCCTCTAACCCTGCAGGAGCTCATCACTCAGATTCCTACTGAGTGCTGAGGCCCAGAGGTCCTTCAATTTGCACACTGCTCTTGCAGTTCCCAGCAATGAGATGGAAAACAAGCAGAGAGTGACCACAGTTGTAATTTCAATTATGTTCAATTAAAGGTCAGCACATTAAATGATTTGGAAGATAAACACAACCCCCAGTTTACGATAATAAAGTTGCTCTTGCAATGATTAGCAATTGAGAAGCAATATTAAGCTAGTATGACATTCAACAGGTGCTTGTATCAAAGGTTAAAAACAGTGACATCTACCTCTCTGCTCTGTCACAGACTCATCAACTATATTCAGATGCACATCCTCCTGTCCCCCAACAGTACAGCCATAAGGATGAAATCAAAAACTTCCATTTTCAATTGACTGTAATTTAGCATTATGACTGAACCCTAAACTGTGATTCATCTTAACCATGTTTCATTGAAACAAGCCCACTTCATGAGCCAAGATTTGACACTGCCTTGTTTCAGTAAACCATGGTTAAGACTAAGCATAGTTTGGCCTCATCCACACTTCTTCTTGTCCCATTGCTTTCCCACAGGGTTTTCTCTGGATTGACATTTGCTCCGAATTAGCTATAAAGAGTGGGTTTTCTCTGGGAAGGGAGAGGGGTGAGGGGAAAACCACTTGGATCTGTGCCTAGAATGTGTGGGTCAAGCAGAAAAACCCTTGGACACATGCTTTCCAGGCACAGGATAAGTGGAAGTGTGACTAAGCCATTTGCCTGGATTCCGACTTAAATAATACTCATAATTTAGTGTATCTGTATGCATCAGTTTCACTATCTATAAAGAAAGGCCAATAGCCCTGCCTAGCTTTGTAAGAAAAAAAATAATTTAAACTGTAAGACATTCTGGGATTGTTATTATGATGAAGGGTACAGACAAAAGCAGTGATTTGCTATAGAAGAGCTCACCCTGACTGAAACTCGATCCAGTGGAAAACCTATTCAGTGCAGTCTCCCTTGTTTTCTCAGTTTTCTATATAGTGGATGTCCATAGGAAGACAACTAATTCAGACATTATTAAAAAGAAAGGACTCTCAGGTGTCAAAGGAACTTAGCTACCCAAACAGGTCACACAGTAAGTTCTCATGGTAAGTTATATCAAGACTTGGTCCTCAAAGATGGATGGGGATCCTAAGACCTTACAAGGCACAACAGCTCCACTGCTTCCTGAAATCAATTAAGAAAAGATACACAGCTCTGATTCTGATGAAGCATTGCTTCACATAAAATTTAGGAACGTTATATTAAAAATAGACTATTGGTGTTATGATCCATGATCTGGGGATCTTGGCATCCATGACAGAGGTCTCTGTTAAGGCTGAGGTCCTACTTCCTTGGGGATGGGGGAGAATGGCTAGTACATTGTTTGGGACCCCTCTGGCCTCTCCACAACCATCTGACTCCCCTACTGTGCCTCTATCTCCTCACCCATACAGAAGCCAATGACTACAAAATAAAGTGGGGATCCTTTAGCCAGCCAGCTCCTTCAAGGAGGTAGACCCTACCACAGTCCAGATCTGGTCGGCCTACATAATAATGCTGCTGCTGTTGACTCTAGTTGCCTGTTGTTACCTCAGAAGGAGAAGCAGGCAGCAAGGCACCCTTGGAGCTGTCCCAGGTCCTGTTCTTATATGTCCTCTACTTTGACCTTTGACTTTTCTTGATTCCCCTACAAACCTCAAGCTCCCACAGGATAACATTCAATATGAAGGACCATATTCTCAGTCAAACAGGCTGCCTCTATCAGGCCTCTTCTCCCCTCAACTGTCATCTAGGGACAGCCAATCCATCAGGCTCCCTCAGTAGCACAGACAGGAAACAGGACTCATTTCATCAGCTTTGTTGGAGGCCGAGCTCCATCAGGCATCTCCTGCCCCTGAACTTTGCCAGCTGATCATTGTAGGAACAACTGTTTAGAAACTGTTTGGTGTCTGAGTTTTGATTTTCCTCTTCCCTCCCTTCCCCTTGTATGTTGTTTTTGATACTGCAAATCTGCAGGTAGGGACTGTCTTGTTTTCATTGACTATATGTAAGCCTCCCTGGGAGGCATCTTGGCAGAAAAGCTGAGTACAAATGCTCTAAAAAATAATAATAAACAAATTGCCTGTGATCAAGTACCGTGATAAAAACACCTTTGTCTTTACAAGCGGCAAATGAACCTTTATTTGATAGGGCCAACATAGAGAATATTAGAGATCCCTTCCAGAGACATTCAGAAAACAAGCAGGGATGCTGAGTGTAGCAGGAGGCTTGCTGGCCTTCTGCCTTGCAAAAACTAGAACTAAATATCACAGAGGGAACTGAAATGCAGTGACAGGCAATAGCAGAAAACCCTGAAGCTAGTGTGGGCCAGATACTCAGACAGCTGGTGACCATAGCTGAGGTGCCATGAGCACCATAATGCTAACCCAATTCAACAGCAGGGAGCTTGCCTGTTATGGAGGTGTGGTGTGCAGGGATGTTTGCCAGCTGCACTGAGTGGCAACAATAGCCCCATCATCATCCCATCATGTCTGATGTGCCAGCTGCAACCAGGCGCAGCTCTCAGCTTGCACATTGCCCTTGGCCAATAACCTGCCCCACAGGCAGTTTTCCATGACCTGCAGAGCTTTCCTCGGTATTATTTCATCACTTGCCTCCCAATCTTCATCCGTGGAAAGCTTCTCCAGGCCACTAGCTGCTGCCTTTGGAATATACATTGGTTATTATTAAAACTTGCACAAACTGCTGTTCCATTAAAACAGCAACAACAACCCAGAGCAATTTACAAAGTTTGGACCCAGAGTCAGTGTGGTGTAGTGGTTAGAATGCTGGGCTGATACTTGGGAAACCAGAGTTCAAATCCCCACTTGGCCATGAAGTTGACTGGGTGACCATGGGCCAGTCTGCCTCTCAACTGTCTCAATTTGACAGGGTTGCTGTGGGGTTTAAACAAGCATTGTGTGGTGTGGATCTGCCCACTGTCAAACAGCTCTCACCATGAGAAAGTTTTTCCTAATGGTTGCAGTGCACCTCAGCATCAAAGCCAAGGGACTCCTTGGCAGAGAAGAAATGCTGTTCCAGTATGGGCAAATTAGAAACCTACCCAGTACTATCCCCTCTGGCAGGCTTTATTAGCTACGACAGATTGTGAAGCCAGAATCATTATCTAGAAGAAGCACCAATGCAGCAGGCAATGTTGTTCAATGCCCCACAAACATTGCACTCCTAATCAGTCCTATTCTCTTTAGAGAAGCAAAGGTTAGGTCTGTTTTTCCCCCTTTTTGGAAGGGAAGCACGTCATTCAATAAGAAAACAGCAGCAGCTGATGCTGCAGCAAAACACAATGGTGTGATTTGTCTACGCTATCGGGAGCTGAAAGTTGAGAGGCCAAACAGCCTATTAACTTCCCCAGTTCCTTGAGGCCAAGTCAGATTCCATTCATGCCACATAACATGCATACACTTGGGCTGCTTCCATCTCTCCCGAAAAGATATCAGCCTAGCATCAAGCTGATCAAACTGAGAACGAAAAGGGAGGTTATCAACCCAGAGCAAGACACCCTCTGACAACAGGAGCCCAAATTACAAACTGGTGCTGCTGAGCTGAACCAGCCTGGTGTCACTGTTGTCTTTCCCCAAATAATAATTCCAGCGCCCAGCAAATGCTCTGCTGAGTGCCACTGATGCTACTTAGCTAATATCTGAGGGCTGCGGCATGACCCAAAGAGAGAGAGATACCCAGCCAGGAGCAGGCCAAGAGGGAAAAGGTGGAGTATGAAGGAAAAGGCATCCCTGGAGCATGCACTTTAAAAAGCCTGCAATGATGCACATCTCTAACATAATGGCTTTTAGATGGCTGTTTGAAAGGATTAGACAAATGAAGGCAGGATAGGTCAACAGCTATTAGCCACTGGGCCATACCTCCAAGGAAGGGAAAGGTACAATAAGCAAAGCAAAGCTATCCTGCTAATTTTCAAATTTCTGTTGAAGACCTTTTTTGTGTCGACAGGTGTTTAAACTTTGCCAAAATGAGTCAGTTTCTATGGTTATTTCCTATTGTTCTTATGACACTGTTTTAATAATACTTGAATATTTCATTGCACACTGCTGTGATATTTTATATAAAAGGGTGGTCTATAAATATTGTGATAAAATAAATATTTTGATATAAAGGCGACAACAGTCTCCAGGAATCCGTGGCTTTGGCTTCTTTCCCCCATTGACCTGACTGTGCCCAAGATCAGAGGAAGTCAAGTCAAAGCTGCTTTAGCTAATCTATTGCTTTCTGGAGCGCAGCCTGGGGTTAAGTGGATGGTTGCCTTGTTTTTAAATGGAGCTCTCATGCGCTCCATCAGCCCACTCACACTTTCACTTCCTCTAGGTTGTTCCTTCTATTATGTATCTGATTCAACAGCTGCCCACAAAACACCTTCACCAACCTGCCCTTCACACAACCCAAGGCCCATGGAAAATGCAAAAATGCCATGCACATCAAAGGAAGAGATCCATCCAAATAGCCCCATCCTTTCTCAGGAAGAAAACAGCCATAGATTGTTGGATGTTCCCCTTTGGAAGAGGCTGGGCACTGACTTCCTGTGCCCTACCCTAAGCAAGGGGAGATGTTGCTAAAACAAATGAACAAATAGAGCCCACATTAACAATGCTGTTAGCATGGATATAAGCTCATGTTTCCCAAATCAATTTCCAGTTCTCTTCAATTTCACTGTTCTCATGTTTGTATCGATCGATTGTACATTGCTGCTAAGATGTATTTTGTATTAGTATTCTCTCTCTTTCTAATAAAAAAGCACTTTCATTTGTATTCTCTTTAATAATACATTGTCTCTTCGTTTGCTATTAAAATTGTGATGCTTCAACTGCACATGCTTTTAAAAGGATTTTCATTCATTTTCTTACCCCTAACCCAAAAACTCAATGTATGGGATAACATTTCTGTTTCTAACAAAAAAACCAAACCCCAAATTCTCGAAAGAGCAGACATATCCCAATTCTACATTTCCATTAACGTGAACATTATAGGAAACAGATGTTATTGGAGAGACTATTCAACTTTACTTGTATTTACTCAAGTGTTGCTCATAAGATTAGTTTCTCTTCCAGGGACCTAGATCAATTCCTCTTGGGGTATCCATTACAGACTTTGAAACAGGATCGTTAACTGTTCTTATGCTAAATCCATCCAACACATCTTATTCTTTTAAGACATACTTAATGACGCTAATAAGAATTTAACTTTATAATCTAGGCAAAAAGTATGAGCACCTAATCCCCATTGATGTTTAACATACAGGGTGGCCATAGGTTATGAGATGTCTGATTTAAGCCTATCGCACCCTTGACTTAAGGGTGCTGTGCAGGGATAGGTTGGCTTCCAAATTCACCTTGTATCAGAGGAGCCTCAAGACAAGCAGTCATATGGGACCCATGCTGCCATATTACCACTGTTGCTCCAGTGGTACCTACTGCTTGTGGAACCAATGCACTGGGATACCACTGCTAACACAAGGGACAAGAAAGTGGAGGAAATTGCCTACTGTGGGAGTGAGCGCCAGAGTTTAACTATGTGGTACAGAAGAAATACTTAATAAGAGCAATACTCTGTGCTCAGCTCCACCTACACATGGGAATTTGAGGTATGCTACTGAAAGGACCGTATGCTACCACGACAGGGTGAGCTCCTGTTGCTCGGTCCCTGCTCCTGTCAACCTAGCAGTTTGAAAGCACGCCAGAAAAGTGTAAGTAGATAAATAGGTACCGCTGCGGCGGGAAGGTAAACGGCGTTTCCGTGCGCTGTTCTGGTTTTGGTGTTCTGTTGTGCCAGAAGCAGCTTAGTCATGCTGGCCACATGACCCGGAAAAACTGTCTGCAGACAAATGCCAGCTCCCTCGGCCTATAAAGCGAGATGAGCACCACAACCCCAGAGTCATCTGCGACTGTACTTAACTGTCAGGGGTCCTTTACTTTTTTTTTTTTTTTTACTGAAAGGACACTAAATAACCAAGGCCCTCAAAGAGTGAAGAGTATGGTATTTTTTGCTCTATAACACGCACCAGACCATAACACGCACGTAGTTTTTAGAGGAGGAAAACAAGAAAAAAAATATTCTAAACAAAATAGTGGATATATGATTTTTGTGGTTCATGCTGTGGCCACAGACATGTGATCTGACAGTGAGTTTGGAGTAGCCCAATGCAAAAATCCTGAGGATCCATGTGGATCCATGCTTTGTAACCATGGAGGCGGGAAGGAAGGGGAACCATGGATCCTCTGCTCACGACTGCAGCAGATCCCCACCGCCACCCACAGGCATTCGCTCCATAACATGCACAGACATTTCCCCTTACTTTCTAGGAGGAAAAAAGTGAGTGTTATGGTGCAAAAAATACGGTATATTGATAACATTTGTATTCTTTAACCACAATTAGATGCAACACATCAAAGATGTGTATTAAAAAATAAATGAAATTATAACAGAAGCTACATAGGGTGGAGGAATGTACTGGGGTAGGGAAGAGCTGTATTCTATTTGCTGGCCCCACCCCTTCACCATTGCCCGACCAGCACCAGGACCTATGTACACACACAAACACACACCCATGAATGTAGGCTCTGCATGCCTGAGCTATCTAGTCTCCATTTTTGCAGGGTAGAGATCATCCGTACAGATCCTATGTACACTGAAGTCCGAGCATGTAGGCCTCTGTGCAAATGGGAGCCCATACTCATGCAACGATCCTAAACACTCACATAGATCCCACAAGACCAAAGACAAAAGGAGAGGCCTTCTCCTAGTAGTAAACAAAGAGAAGTTGTAATCAAATGAGTTTAATAGGGGTAGTGGCCAAGTCAGTCCAATGCAGGAAAGACCAGTCTTGTGGCATCTTTAATTGTTACATCTGATGAAGCAGACTCTACTCTATGAAAACATATGAATTGGTTTGTTTTTCAGGTGCCACAAGACTCATTCTAGAATGATGTGAGGCAGATCTAGGGTATGATCACAGGACAGCTTACTTTGCATCCAGTGGGCACCCACAGCTAGTTTTTGAAGCCACATTCACACGACATTAGCCATAATCCATTTGGTTGCTTCCGTTTTTTGAAAAATACTGCTCTTTTCTGTATTTTCCCCCTTAAACCAGCTTCAATCCAACTAGAAAACTGAATGTGGAGTAAGCAGTAATGTGAACAGACTCTGAACAGCCTTCATACATGCACTGTTAGCACATATGCACAGATGACAGCTTCATGGATAGGAGTTCCCAGGAGGGCAGTGCAAGAGAAGGGAAGCCAAAAACAGAATGCGCATGTTGGTGGAGATCTCCCCCTCTCTGATGTGAACAACAAATTACCTTACTGCATTTTACGCCACTAATGTGAGCATCCCCCTAGTCTGGATGCAATCTGAGATGTGTATTTTCTAGCAAGTAAGCTCCATTGAACACAGTGGGGCTTCTGAGCCAATGTGCTAAGGCTCCATCTGCCCATTTAAAAGGGAGATACGATTTCATAAACATGGGGGGCACAGCAGTAAAGAAACAAAATAAGCTGTAAGAAGTGGAAACGCCTAGAGGTACTACAAACCCTTGCTTCCATGCTTTTGACAGCAGCTTGATGGGCTGATTTTAGCAAGCAACAATGTTTATTTCCAAACGTCACCTCCTAATGCCTCCCCCACATATCAAGCGGCTGTCAAAAAGGCACAGTGCAAGCGTCAGTTGAGAAGTTGGCAACCCAACGAGAACCCAGTGCAGATGTGGGCGAAAGCTATGGGTTCAAAGCAATCTCCATTGTCCTCCTCCAAATTGCATTGAAAGGATTATGTCCCTCAGAACTCTCTTCCGTCAGCACCTCTGACAACACAATGGCGCTTGGGGAGTGCTGCTGGCAAGAGTCCAGGGTCTCAGTGGCTTGTAGGGCTGCCTGTTGCATCAGCTCCATTGAAGAGGAGTGAGCAGAGCTGGTCCTATGTGTGAAAAGAGGAGGAACTGGGTGGTTCAGCACCCAAGCAGCATGTTTGCTGACAGGAATGCAGGACGCCAGACTCACACAAAAGCCTTCTCATTATCTCTTAATTATTGCTTTTTCCAGCTCCTGCAATTAACGCCTGTCTGGGTGGCTGCTGGTGGGGCTAGAGGCACATTAGAGTCAATCAGGCAGCTGATAGGCCAGTTCAGAGGAGGCCCTGCACTGCCACCACCCCAGGCTGCCAAGCCAAATAAGCAGACATGGGACAAAGGGCCTTGCGAGCACAGAGAGCTGCAATAAGACACCAGACTGACAGCCCATTCACATGACAAAAAGAGCCTACATTTAAGATAAAATAACTGGTCCACCCTTTTTCTTTTCCTTCAGAAGGTTGCAAATTAGAATGTTCATCTAAAGAAGTACTTAAAATTGTCATGCAGATTTGAAACGGCTCTTTTTCAGGCCTGGTGACAAACTAGTACACGTGACTCCCTACTTCTTTTCCATGCCTTTAAAGCAGGCACTGTGAAATGTACTGCTGAATGATGCGGTTTTCAATTTATTGTGCTTTATTTGTGACATTTTTATCTCCTCCAAGTTGCCCAGAGTGATGTACGTTTCATTCATCCAGCAACCCTGTGAAGTAGGTTAGGCTGCCAGACAATGGCTGCCTTTAAAGTCACCAAGTCAGCTTAATAGCTGGGTGGGATTTAAACCCAGGTCTCCCCAGTCTAAATACAGTGGGGGAGCCATGGTCTGACACAACTAGTTACACCCTAAGAAAACAGAGCCCTTGTCTAGCACTCTAACCACTACATCATACTGATTCTCCCCTATTTCCTTTAGCTGTATGAACACCTGGGATCTCGGCGCCTCCTATGGGTGATGGGTAGCCTTGCAGAATGTCTCCTGCATGGATGTGTGTGTGTGCATGCAGCCTGGACTTAGCTGAACTTCATCCAGCCCTACCAACCTTTGAAATCCAGCCGCTTCCCTTGTTGTCATATGAGCCTTTGCATCATATTTCACACCCTGTCCCAAACATTCCCAACCCTTTACTCACGAGGGAGGCACAAACAGTGACTACTGTTATTTTGAATATTTGTTCCCATTTAGATAAATGCCCTCTTTCTCCTTCCTTTAAGCTCACAGCTCCTGCTTTGCGCTGAGAGATGAACTCTCTTCAATAGACGCAGGCTCCATCCCAAAAGGACTCTGACTGCAATGCTTGAGACTTGGGCTGCATACCAAACAGTCGTAAGCCAAAGCGCTCCTGGAGGAATCTTCTGCGGTAGAGAAAGGGATGCGATTTTTAGAGGAACTGTATTTAAGGCACATGGAAGCTACACCTGCTGAGATCAAACAACAGACCAAATCACTCAAGAGAATTCTGCTTTGGTTTCTAAAGGACCAACCTCACCACACCTTCCCATCTGGCCACACATAGGGCAAAACAGGAAAAACAAAACCTCCTTTGGAAATCTAGCTGTCATCTGTGCACCCTAAGTCCTGGCAGTCTTCCTACCATCTACATCATCAGATCACAGAGGCAGGAAAAAACAGAAACCGTTCCATCAGCTAAAGGGAGAAGCAGAGATGGGCAGATAGGACAGCAGACACTCTTAGAAAGTGGCTGTATTCCAGATCAGATTATTTGTTCATCTATCTTCTTTCTATGTAAAAAGGTAAAGGTAAAGGGACCCCTGACCATTAGGTCCAGTCGCGGACAACTCTGGAGTTGTGGCACTCATCTCGCTTTACTGGCCAAGGGAGCCGGCGTACAGCTTCCGGGTCATGTGGCCAGCATGACTAAGCCGCTTCTGGCGAACCAGAGCAGCGCACGGAAACGCCGTTTACCTTCCTGCCGGAGCAGTACCTGTTTATCTACTTGCACTCTGACGTCCTTTCAAACTGCTAGGTTGGCAGGAGCAGGGACCGAGCAATGGGAGCTCACCCCATCGCGTGGATTCGAACTGCCGACCTTCCGATCAGCAAGCCCACGTCTATGTACACATGACCAAAAAAGAGAAAATGCAGCCTCTTCCCAAAGCAGGTGGGTAGAACTCTTCACCATGGGTGCATTTGACAAATGGGTGCATTTATATCCAATCTTTTTCTCCAAGAAGTTCAAGGTGGCCTGCAAGGTTCTTCTCCCCTTCCTCATGTAACCCCCCACAACAACCCTGTGCGATAGGTCAGGCTGAGAGGCAGTGACTGGGTCAAAGCCACCCAGTGAACTTCATGGCTGAGTGGGAATTTGAACCCTGGTCTCCCAAGGTCCTAGTCTGACACTCTAACCATTATAACCCCACCACAATAGTGTTTGGGCTTTTGGAAGAGATCCTCAGCATGCAGAGCACTTTTCGGCCCAGACAGCATGCGGAAACACAAAGCTTTTCCAAAATGTAGTAGCCACCGAATCCACTGGGTATTGGACTCCTGTGGTCAGCCTCATTCTGCTCCATTCCCATCAGTGACAGCAAAAAACAGCTCTATGTTCATGGTGTTTGGACTGTGGCGGGGCAGGGGGGAGAGAGAGCTGTTCTAATTATTCCACACATCTAAAAGGTGCTTTCCAAAGAAGTGAGATACATTCTTTTTTTGTTCTGTAGCACATATGCACACACGCACACAACGCTTTCAGTAACACCCGAGGATTAAGGCCTCCATGCCGGTCACAAGGGAGGATTAAGTCATAATGCACATGTCTGGCTGGTGTTTGCACAGAATTATTTGCTGCCTGACATCAGGTCTGGGCTGAAGAATGAACAAGGTCTGGAGATAAAACCTGCGCACACTCCCTTGCAGCCAGACAGCTACATAACCTCACCCTGAACTTGTGTCAGTGATTAGAGAAAGAAGAATAACAGTATTTCAGATTCCAAAATGGAAAGCAGCCAACAGGAGGCAGTAAGGAGCTTGGCAAGGTGCATGGTATGTGTGTCTTCTTACAACTGACCATATCCAAAAGAAAAGCCTGCAGTTATCCTTTGCTGTGTTGAAAAGTGAAATATGAGATGAACAGGTGGGGGGGTGGAGTCAGAGTAACCAAAAACTGGACTTTATAAACTCCACCACCCTATGCAATATCCTAGGGTTGCCATATTCCCAAAAGTGAAAATCTGGACAAAGTTGTTGAGCCCCCTTCCTTGCCATACGACCAGGTTTTCCCAGACATTCTACCGATTTAGTGAAAATCCGCCCACACGTCATTCTGCTGTTCCCAGACATGTCCAGGAAAATCTGGATGTATGGCAACCTGAAATATCCCTTCAAAATCAAGGAATATGTTTAGCAAATGCAGCTTAAAAGGACTTGTGCTATCATTAGGAATACCACCATGATGCACCTCCTTTTTTGCTTGTGTCGTAGTAGAGTTTGGACTGTACAGTATAAATGAATCCATTCCAGCCCTATAGATCAACAGAGGCTTTCGGTTATCTCCACAATAAAGAGAGATTTCTTCAGTCTGCTATAGATCACCAGGGTGGGGGGAATGTGTGTCACATTTAATGTAGCCTGGGGGAAAGCAGAAGTGGCATCTTACAGCACAGCAGCAATGCTACATATCGATAGGGACAAATCGATGCATGACCTCAAACCCTAAACACAGAGGGCAGCTGTAGCATCTGTGCTTGGCAGCATTTAAGGAGCATTGGTACTGTATATTCACTTGAGCACCAAACATTTGAGTGGAGAAGGTAACTACTGCAATGCAAAAGCCACTCATGTGGATTTTTGTATCAACAAAGAGTGATCTGTTTCATTACGGGGCAAAGCAGTTACGAGCCATCATAGCAGCAGGGTGCCCTGTGCACATTCATTTTGAAACATTAACGCATATTTTAAAACTCCTGCATCCTTTCAGTATTATTTGATTCAAATTCAAGCACATATTTCTGTTCAGACTTCCGATTATATTTCATCTAACTCCCCCGTCCTAACAAAACACTGCCAAACTTGGAATGGCTCCACTTGCCTATATCAGGTGGATAGTTCACATAGTGTCTTCTGTCTCCAAGATGACTGCTTGGTGGTAGTATGGCAGATAGTCTTCATGCAATGGCTGCTGCAATCTGCGCCATGGCAGACTGTCTTGCACGTTACAGCTACTATACAGGGACTATGTCCTGCAACCTCTGTGAAGTGAGGCGTTCAGATTTAAACTGCTCCTCAGAACACAGAATCTATCCTCTTCAGTTTGAGGGTCGCTGTTATCCCTTCTTCATTTCCAAGCCATTTCGAGACCACTTACTCCTACTATTTGGTTACCATGGGAACTCAGAAAGCAAACATGGCTGCCATAATGAATCTACAGCAAGGTCAGAAGGCTTCAGGGACCAATGCTTGTGAAATGCATGAGACCACACCAGGTCAAAGCCCGTGGTCTATAAAGACTGGCCAGCCATTGACAGGCTATGTATTTAGCTGGAAATGAGTGGTAACTGCTGATACCAGATCATAAGCAGACATTACCAAACCATCCAGGGGCTTGTTTCCTTGTTTTTAAACCAGCCAAGCCAGTTCTTTTAATGCCCAACTTATATTTATTTTAATGGCCTGTTCCATGAGGCTGCTTTAAAGCAAGGGACACACCTTAGGAGCAGTCTGGCAGCAAATTTGGGTTTTACACTTACCAAAAATTGCACAGAACAGTTCAGTGTTCCAAGATCCAAAACCTGAAAGTAATTCTGGCTTATATATTTTCATAACAAGAAATAGGCAAACTGTCCAGGTGATAGCCAACATCTGCACTGAATCCACATGCAGGATTCTCTAAAACCAAAGACAGACCAAGGACAGAAAAATATCACAGCAGGTTTTTATTACTTAATCTGAATAAAAACATACCCTTATTTCATGAATAACGAACGGTCCAGAAACATGATGATCAGATACATTTTTAATGGCACGATGAACAACATAACACTACATGAACAATACGACACACCTGCTTCTTTGTTCCTTAGCCCAATGAATCAGTAATATCTACGCACAACTGAGGGGAAATGAAGGAAGCCATTTTGTGCCATGCACATCAAAGCAGTACTCAGACCCACAATCTTTTTGAAATATCATTGGCTCAGTTACTTTAATCATTTAGACTCTGTATTTTTTGGCACACCTTAATAAAGCAATAATAATAATACACAATGTTGAGTTTTTTACATCACATAATGTACTCTGAAGCCAGTCATTTTGTGGTCCAATCTCTCCACCCACCCACAAAAACACAGTCTGAACTCTTTCAGGGTTTGGAATCAACTGTTGAAAAAAAAATAAAGGGGAAATTATCATTTTTTCAAAACAGATCAAAACAAAGAACACCATGTTTTTTCACTGATAATCATAACATGCCAGAAAATATTCAAAGGGAAATCTAAAACTAGTTGTTAAATGGATGGCAACTGAGCTTAGTTAAGGTTACTCACCACTGCCCTCTGTTGGATAGTCTTTGTTAGAAGTAGAGTCCAGTAGACGCCATATTGTAAATGTTTCTGGGAGATTCTCCTTCAACTTAAGCATGGAGCATTAAGCATGTGTGCTTGTCAGCGAGCTGAATGCTGCTGTTTTCCTAGGTGGCTTCAGATTTGCTGAACTATATTATTATTGGGCTTAAATAGTTTGGCAGGCTGCCTGCTACTGGGACAGCAATAGCTTGAAAGCCATTTGTCACACAGCTTGCTCTGTCCTTATTTTACTTTTCTCAAGGCAGAAGAAAGCCTTTCCATCATAGCTGCAGAATTACAAGGAACTGGGAGGGAGGAGGGGGGCAAACGTACCTCCGTCCTCTTTAGTAACCTCCCTTCCCCCACAAGATAATATTCTCCCCTGTCGAGGATGCCATGCATTGCAAGCCCCAGATGGGAAAATTAGTTCTGACAGTTCTAAGCCTATTTGGGAAACAGGAGGTAATTAATTCAGATTCCACCCCCCTCATCTGTATGAAAAACATCTTACTCTTCCTATGGGGCTCATTCTGCCTCCATTTCAACCAACTGCTAGAACAGAAAACCAATGGGGGTTCATTAATACTAGGCCACAGACCAACATGCACAATAACAAACTCTGCATGACAACCTTTCTCCCAGCCAAAAGCATGCACCCGATGAATCTGACCTCCCCTAACTACCCACAAGGATGTTTGCTCAAGACCTATTAGGCACTTGCATTTTCCCCCCAGATAAAATGATATTTGGGATTCTGCCATGCAGTTCTCTTAAGCTGGGTTTCACAAGACTGACCCCTTAGTTCCAAAGACTTTGAATTAAAGTCTCCCAAATTTACACCATTTTCTTGTATTGCCTCCTTTTCTGCTACTTTAAAGGTGACAGCCATTTTGTGAATGGCCACATTCCCATGGCAGCCATTTTGTGAACAACTTTCCTCCACACTGCATCCAGTTTTGTGGTAGGGTCCATGTCCCTTCATCATAAATCCATATGTGGCCATGAACCTACAAACAGAACGTATCACCACAGACTTAATCAAATCCTCAAGGAGAGTGTGGCCTTATTTCTGTCCTCCTTCCTGTAGCGTTTGAGACAGAACCTGCCATACTGTTTCACTGGTCTCTGGATTATACAGTCATTATAACCACCATCTGGCACAGAATATGCCAAGCCTAGTAAAGTTCTGAGAGATAAATAACAGGCTTGAAGCTTTCTGGGTCAAGGGATGGATGTCATTTTCAGAGATCATACAAGTTTTCGCTCACATACACACACATGCTAAAGTTAAGTCAGATTTCAAAATGTGCTCTGAGGAACTCTGGGGTTCTTTGGAACTAGCTTATCAAGGCTCTCCAACAAGTAGATTGGTGATGGTGGACAAAAGTCTATTGTCCACCATTACTGTTCCCTTCAGCATGTGCAGACACATTGTCAGCAATTGTATATGGCACATTCTCAGTTCATGTGGGGCAATACTGAGGCCTAAGAATTCTGGCCAGTGCCTGCCCTGAACAATCACTCAACCCAGCACAATCCTTTATCATAAGCAATGGATTCATCAGGTGCCCTGCACAGCTTCCTCAACAGAAAGGTGGAAAGTCTGAAAATCATCAGTATACAGTGGTACCTTGGTTCTCGAACTTAATCCGTTCCGGGAGTCCGTTTGACTCCCAAAACCATTCAAAAACTTCTGATTGGCTGCAGGAGCTTCCTGCACTCAAGCGGAAGCCGCATCTGATGTTTGGCTTCCGAAAAACGTTCGCAAACCAGAACACTTCCAGGTTTGCGACGCTCGGGAGCTGATTCGTTCAGGAGCCAAGCCATTCGAGAACCAAGGTACCACTGTACAAGATGGGAAATGTCAGCTAATGCGCAAATGTATTTTTTCCCTTTCTGATGACAGATGATAAAAACACACACACACACAATAGTTTTGATGTTTAAAAAGACAATAGTCCTACAACAGAAACACTACCTTGAGAAAGAATGTCTGGATCCTACAAGAAAATTCCCATTATAATGCAAATAAGGTGATCTGGAAAAGCCCCTAAATCTAGTTCTCTGCACTCATTTCAAAGGGTGCTTCCAGACAGCTGCTCTTTTGGAACAGGGTTCAATCACATAATGGCAAATTCAGGTTGCACAATTAAAGCTGATCTGGAGCTCCTGTGCAATAAATCTGCTTCCCCTGAAGATCAGACTTTTTCCAGTAAGAAAAGTGATGTGCAGTGGTGGAGTTTGGGCTCTCAAATTTCAGTGGTGCCCTGTGCGACACTAAAATTCATGCTCCCTTCTACTGCATTGTTGTGGTGCCCCCTGCAACTGTTGCGGCCCCCACTGCAACTGAACCAGTCACACGCCGCCCTAAAAACCACCTCTGAGGTGAGAAAATGTACTGGGAAGTGTGGGATAACACTTGCTGTGGCAGACCTTCTAGCATCCCCACACACAAATCAGAATGAATATTCATTAAATAGGCAACAGTGTCTAATTGCCCTATCAGCTCAACAAATGGGTCGTCTGGAATTCTCAGAAACATCAAAAAGAAGATGCCTCCTTGGCGCAAAGAAATCCTGTTTGTCAAAAAGATAAGCATCCCTTTCTTCAGATACCAGAGAACTCCAATTTTCTCTCCTGGCCACATTGAAGCAGCTTGTAACGACCAAAAATCTTGTATCCTAAGAATTGCAGACTATGCCATTCTGCCACTCTGAGCCTTAAAATCTGCATTAGTTTTTTGTCCAATTGTGAGTTATATCTGATTGACTGGAATCAGGGAGAGAGCTTCCTAAGTGGTGGTATACCACAGGTATAGAATATGCTCCCTGGGAAAGTCCATCAGGTTACTTTCTTTCCCTTTTCAGATGGTGTTTGAAGACATCTTTATTCCAGAAGGCGTCTGATGACCATGTCTACTACTTTTATTGGGGGGTTGTTTTTTGCTGCTTTTAATGCGGCCGTTTAATTTGTTTTTATGTTGCATTTCATTTATTTATTTTTTAAAGTAAGGTGTATTAAAAATCATTTGAAAAGTGCATAACTTAAAAAAAAGCAGAAAAGAATTCTCCCTATTAACAATTCAAAAAGATATGCTCTCAACTGGAGGCCAACAGTTTCCAAGTTTAGTCAATGCCCATAAGCTGCACCCCCCAAAACACTGACTTATGAGAATATACTTATATGGGTGGATCAGCCCTACAAGGCTCCACAGAGTACAAAAGGACAGTGTGGTCATTCAGCTGCCCCCCAAAAATTCAGATGATGGGGCTAATGATAAGATGCTTTCACTTTCTGAAAATAGATAAACTGGATGGGGAAGAAGGAAAATGCTCACAAACATATTAAAAGAGTGCTTCTCAAACCTGATTTTTTGCAGTGGCTGCACACACAGCAGTTCCAAATAGTCTGCAAAAAAATACAAAAACTAGCTTACACCAAAAAAAGTGTTAAGAGCTTCTCTGCCCACATACCAGTATATTAACCAGTTGTGGCGCATCATACCCTGCAAATGGGGTGAGGTGGGAAGGAACTACTGTCTTCCAATTTATCCAAGGTCCCTTGCCTGATTGCCTATGGTGAGTAAAATATAGCCTCTAGGCCAGAAGTTTTCAATCTTTTTGAGTCCACGGTTCCCTTGACCAACTACATTCTTTCTGTGGCACCCCTTTCAGGGGCCCAGTTTTGTCACCTCTTGCCTGCAGAGCTGGCAGCCTCTCACCCTTTTTCAAACACCCTCCTTTGTGGAGTGTTCCCTCAGCCTCCGCTTCTCCAGTCCTTGAGAGTCCTCTGAGCAGCTACCCCCCTCACCCCAAAGAGAGGTGCCTCCTCACAGCGCCCCACAGAGGCCTGGGCAGAGGATTCCCCCAGCCTTAGTGGCCCAACAGAGACTGGCCAAAGGTGAATGTGAAGCCAACACTTTACCATGGGAGGCAGCAGTGGTGGCAGCAGGGCTGCTGCAACGAACAACTGTGGAAGCCTTTGGGAGGCAGAGACTCAAGAGAGCATTAGAGGAGGGAGGGAAGGAAAGAGAGACAGAGGCCAGTGTTACCTGCAGCACCCCTGACCATCATTCAAGGCACCCCAGGGTACCACAGCACACTGGTTGAAAACCACTGCTTTAGGCAATCATAGAAGTGCCTGTTTTCAAGCACAGTGCATGAAAAGCTCGTGTGTGATATACCTGGCAGAGAGATAAAAAACAACAACATTGTTCTCCTACCCAGGGCTATCAACTCAGCTTCTTTCCACAGCATTAAAATTCATTCAGACACCATAACACCCCAAAACATCAGGATTTAATTGACCTGATTATGCATGTTAGACAGATAACATCTGAAGAATCTGAACATGTTTACCGGGCTTTAACAGCTGCATAATAAAAAGAATTTACTGTATCATAGGCTGGAGCTGACTTCCTGCATGCTGTATTAACATAGATGCATTCATTGGCCTGTTGGAGCTGTGATCCACAAAGCAGTTACTTGAATATGCATGCATTTATACCCTCATCCTGACTAAATATATTACAAGCCGCACCAGTATTACTGATACCAAGTAACAGTTTTAGGACTGGGGTGTTAAAATGCATAATGGAACTAAATCAGCTTATCAGTGCTCAACTGGTTTGTGTAGTAGGCCGTGTCAGCTTGCTAAGGATCTCTAATAATAGAAGATATGAATTGGAGCTGTTTGATGATGATGATGATGATGATGATGATGATGATGATGCTAAAAGCAAGGGATCAAATTGGTTTCTGTTGGTGATACAAGGAAGAAAAGGGAGTAGACAGCCCAAAGGGTAGGATTTAAGCCTCAAACTCCATTGATTGTAGCATGTCTAGGCTACAATCTGAGCAAAGCATGTCTCCAAGTCAAAGACTAGATCCAACACAGTGAGCAAGCAAAGAAATTGATATGTTCACCCTATATAGTGTAATCTGAGGTAAAGAGGAAACCACTTGTGTCTTCTATCCATGAACCCAAAGCTTGGCACCAGGATCTCATGTCAAGAAGAGGAACAGAACTGGAATCCTACATCAAAATCAAATAATTACCAGATGAAGCTCAAGGAGCTTCTATTGATCTGCCCATTTTCAAGGCAGCTCAATTTCCTGCAGCATCTTGTCGATTCTACTGGCAGTGGCAGTTATTTGGCAGAGGAAAATCAAAGGGTCAGGAGCCACACTTTCCGATGTGAATTAAGACACCAAAATTAGATTAGGTGCCTGTATGCATTGGACCTGTCCCAGCTCCAGTTACATTGCCATAAGTGGGAATTGTGCCTGTCCTCTTGTGACCAGGCATGGGTGTGCAATGAAAGCACATCCACAAGTGGACAGCGACAACAGCCAAATATGTGCTGGCATTGTGTTACCCATAACTCATTCTGAAGGATCAGAGAGAGAGATTTATAAAAACCAGACACACACAGGATTCATGTCCACACTAGTGAGATAAACTGCACAGAGACCCTTACTAGCATCTGAAAGATGATGCCTGTAACCAATTTTAAAGCAAAAAATGCAAGGCCAAGTTTAGAGCAGCTGGATGCAGCTCCTTAATCTGGAAGTGGGCTCTCGCTTGAGCGTTTGAATATAGCACCTTTGATAAATGGAAGGCAGCATTAATGCATCACCACTCAAGGGACCTAGTTCTGCCAAGAAAACAGAGCGCGCTCTCCATCCCTGTTATGTCATGCATTCGCTGCCCCTTAAGAGGAGGAAACACCAGTTTCCCTCCTTGCTCTAACAAACCTGAAGCCCTGGCAGCCCATCCAGAAAACATCATGAAACACACACTGTCTCCGGGGTTTTTTTAATGTTACTGGCTACACAAAGCAGGCCTCACTCACAGTGTCTGAGAAGTGCTTGATGGGGATTACTCCCAGGTAAGTGTACACAGGGTTGCAACCTTCATCTTTTAGCAGTGTACCCCAGCCTCTTTCTCCTATGTTGGGAGTTTTTGTCTGGTTGACTGGTTTGAAGTCGCTTTGGGTGCCCTGAGCAAGATGAAGCAACTAAAAAAATTAATAAATAATAATAATTGCCAGGGATATTAAGGCATGCTTTTCTTTTCTTTTCTTTTCTTTTTTTGTCTCTTCCTTTACTTTATTTCTCCCCACTTCTTGTGTGTTACAGATGCCTCTCTCCAGCACAGCCTTGCAAAGGGAATGACAGCTTGCCCACCCTGATCTTGGAGCAAGCTAATGGGCATCCTTTATGGCCATCCTTTGCTGGCATTGGCTGCCGAGATCCCCCCCTCCTTTCCTCCCACTCCACTTGCTTCCCAGAGTTGGATCCCCAACACTGATGGGATGTCAAAACCTATTGAGGGAGATAGACAAGCCTTCTGGGGCAGGGGAGGGGGTGGCCATGGTACCTGGAGGCACAGCATTGCCTCTCAGTACACCCCCCACCAAAAACAAAAAAAGGCCCATACACCCTTGGGCCATGAGAGCTGCTCAGCACAGGCACACAAGCCCTTTAGCAGGCAGACTGCATGCCCAGCAGCAACACACGCACCCTGGCACGTTCAGCTCAGGCTCTGCCAGCCCAGGCAGGCTCAGTAGCATTCCCGGCACGCCACAGCAGGATGTCCATCCGAGGCAGAAAGGGAGGCGGTGTCAGGAGAGGGGCTGCAAGGCAAGCTACCCAGAGCTGCTGCCTCTCTTTCATCCCCCCCACCCACCCACCCCCCACTTTTCCCCCTCCTGCAAGGAGCCTGAAGCTGGAGGTTCTTTGTCATTGCCCTAGCTCTCGCCAGCATCCTCCATGAAGCCCCGGAGCTGCGTGCCGCACCTGTCCAAGGCTGCCCGGCTGCCTGGGCGCGCGGCGCAAGCAGGCTGTCGCTCTCGGAGGAGCCGGAGAGGCGGAACAAGGCAGAGACACTCACCGTGCAATGGCTCCGGGCGGCTCGCCTCCGGGTGGGCAGATTCCAAGCCATGGCGATGACCTGCTGCTGCTGCTCGCTCCGAGCCAGGACCCTCGTCTCCTCCTCCTTTCTCCTCCTGCCCGGCTGGAGCAGAAGCCTTCGTTCGGATGGATCCCTCACTCGTCCTCCTCTCCCGCTAGCCGCTCCTCACCATCTCTCTCCCCGCGACCACCATTCATCACCAGGGCTCGCCAAGAGCGAGCAGAAGGGGGAAGAGCGAGAAGGAGATGCTGCTGCCGCCGAATCCGGCATCCTTCCCCAGGAGCCCGAGCTGGGCATGCTCCATGCGCTCTCCGGGGGGATTTAAACGTCACGTGACGCCCGAGCTGTCATTTAGCGCAAGGAGTAAATAGTACCCGAGTGGGGGGGTTAACCCTTCCCTAGCCGGGGAGGGAAAGGTGCTGCGTCAGCGGGGCGCACGCGACCCCCACCTACCCACCCCCGATCATGCGCGCGCGCGCACACACACACACACACACATACACACAGAGCTGGGTCTGGGGGGGGGGCTCTGGGGCGGGGGACTGGCGCATTGTTGGAGCCCTGGGGCTTGGGCGATGCGGAGGACCCCTTTGCGCACCCAAAAGTCCAGACATCTTTTGGAAATGTGAGGTTATCAATAGCAAGCAAATGCGGACTCCGTGGTCTTTTTCTCCCCTCCTCCCCACTGCTTCCCAATCCCACCCCACCAAAACGAGGGACTCGAACCACGGACCACCGAGGGAGATCACTGTAGCAATGCAGCTGCGGTCGCTGGGCACACGCCATACATTTAAAGCGCGCGCACATACACCCCAAAAATAGAATACTGGGAACTGTAGTTTGTGAAGGGTGCTGGGAACTGCAGCTCTGTGAGGCTACAGTGCCCAGGGTTGGGGGGGGGGTGCTTTAAATTATACTGCATACACAGCCACAGTCTTTCTGCTTCTGTCTTCACACGCACCACAGATGCTCACCCTCTTTTCATTCACTCTCAGAAACTAAGGCATGGCTGCTCCGCTGCACAACTTCTCTTCCCTCTCTCCTCCTCCATATCTGGGGGTCTTGCTGCTTCTTTCCTCCCTTCAAGTCAGTGTCCAGCCATGGCAGCGAGACAGAGACGCAGAACTGGATTCACGGGGCCCGGCAAAGGCTCCTCCAAGGAGCAGATCACGGTAGCCGGCTCTTCCGGGCAGATGCTGCTGCGTCGTTTAGGGAGGGAAGCGGGTTCAGCCATCTTTTCAATACGCTCCATACAGGAGGGGCAGAAACCCAGTTTGTGGGGTTGGGGGTAGCCTTCGTAAAGGAATTGCCCTCCAGTAGCTTTCCTTAACGACTGTCCCTGAAGATTTTCCGCAAAGGGCTGTAGCACCATACAGTCCCCTTTCACCGATATGCGCGCGCACACACTGAATGAATGAGGCAGCTAAGAGTTGCATGCTCAATCCCCAAGGTGCAATCAAGGTATACAGTCCAGAGAAACTAACCCCTGATCCCAGGAAAAGATAATAGGAGAACAGACAGTGCTGTATTTCCGAGAGAAACCTGCTCCCAGCTCCGGAAATGGGCTGTGATGAACAAGGGGCATTGAGGGCACTTCGCAGCACAGGCTTCTGCCTGGTTACTCAGAAGTAACTCCTGCTCTATTCAATGGGACTTACTCTCTCAGGTAGGTATATATACACAGTGTATTAAACCATTAACTTCCTGAGTCTCAAATCCCCCAAGGGCACCACGATTAACAGCAGCTGTGAGGGTTTGTGTGGCACATGGTACCTGTGAATTGTACACCCATGGGGCAAATCGCAGTTGGAGAAGAGGGTGCCCAGAAGGGTCCCACCTCCCTTACCTTTTGTGCCTCTTCTTTTAGCTACTTTCATTACAAGTCTACAAAGGGTGGCGGCATCATATGGCTAAAATTCAGATCAAGAGTAGGGCTTGCAGATTGCATTAAGGGCCATCTCCCCCACCCCAGCCAATAACAAACACTGTAAGGTAAAGGGCCATTAGGTCCAGTCGTGACCGACTCTGGGGTTGCGGCGCTCATCTCGCTTTATTGGCCGAGGGAGCCGGCGTACAGCTTCCGGGTCATGTGGCCAGCATGACTAAGCCGTTTCTGGCAAACCAGAGCAGCGCACAGAAACGCCGTTTACCTTCCCGCCAGAGTGGTACCTATTTATCTACTTGCACTTTTTGGCGTGCTTTCGAACTGCTAGGTTGGCAGGAGCTGGGACTGAGCAACGGGAGCTCACCCTGTTGTGGGAATTCGAACTGCCATCCTTCTGATCAGCAAGCCCAAGAGGCTCAGTGGTTTAGACCACAGCAAGGCTGTCAATTGCAATTGTCCAATGGAAAGTTTGACCAAGCTGCGGGAGGCAGTGGAAGACAGGAGTGCCTGGTGTGCTCTGGTCCATGGGGTCACGAAGAGTCGGACACGACTAAACAACTAAACAACAACAACAAAACAATGGAAAGCACTCTGAATTCTTACTGGCCATCTGGAGGGCTAAGGCTTTGCACAGGCAGAATTTTATCGGTAAGAATACACCAGTCAGAACCACGGGGATCTTGAGGCTTGGCCGTCATGGTGTGTCATAGGTTGGCAGGAGCTGGGACTGAGCAACGGGAGCTCACCCTGTTGTGGGGATTCGAACCGCCTTCTGATCGGCAAGTCCTAGGCTCTGTGGTTTAACCCACAGCACCACCCATGTCCCCAAACACTGGGGAGTACTTTAATAGGAAATATAGCATGCAGGAGTGATTAAAAGCCACCAGCTCCAACCACAGCATAGTCTGGTCCAAATCAGCTATGAACACACTCACCCCAGCTGTTAAAAAGAAGACCATGAGAAATCTTGTTCACGGGTCTCCCATGTCAAGTCTAGTTTAACTCTCACAGTTCTCTGGCAACCCTCACCCCACGCTGGCACTCCTCAGAGAGAAGGTTGCACAATAGGATACTGTGCCAATATTTGGGACTCCTAACTGCTTCGTTATAGCAAGGGGTTTAGGTAACTATGTGAATTTAACAAGATTTTGTGTTTTCCACACAACTTTATATTTTGGTAACGGAAGACCAGGGACTCTTCCAGCATGCAGGATTTAAGGTTGCAATCCTATTCGCCACTTATCTGGAAGTAAGCCCCATTGGATTCAGCTGACCTGATTAGATCTGCTTAGGCTTGCACCAGACATCCATTTGTAATGTGAATGCGAAACCGAACATTCAGTTGCCGCTTCAGGAGATACTTTGGTGAAATTTGAGCCTAGCCCCCTCACTGGACAGTACCTTTAAGCAGGAAAAGCCAGGGCTTGGGTGTTCTGTACAATGTGTATAGGGCCCACCTTTTGGAATGGTGAGCCCTATTACTGACTAGCTAGCATCTCAATTTCATTAATAATAATAAAAAAAACCATTTTCCTGTGCTTTACGTCCCACATAAACACTCACGCATCAAGTATGTCACAGTGGCCTTGGAGACCAGAGTTCAAATGTCAAGGGCTGGAAAACAGTTAAGCCTCTTAGAGGATGTAAAGAAAAGCTGTTGTTTATTTTTATTTATATACCGTATATCTATATCTAATCTATATCTATATCTATATCTATATCTATAGCTATAGCTATAGCTATAGCTATAGCTATAGCTATAGCTATAGCTATAGACACACACACTTTGCTGCCTAAGACAAATGACAAGATAGTGCCCTGCCCTGTCCCTCCAAACATGCACGTACAGAAGACAACTGGGTTTTTCCACAGCAGTGGAGGGACAGCATTCTCTGCTGTATTGGAAGGCAGCAGGCTGGTCAAATAAACACAGGGCAGGTTGTAGGCACACCCAGGTATGTCCTGGAACACTTTATGGATGCTGCCCACCCCACTCCACCCCCAGCATCTGCTGCCTGAGGCAACCACCTTACTCTGCCCAGTCCTTTTTTCTGGCAGTACTCAAGGGTACACAGTACCAGCACTCTTTTTCTAGAAGAAAAGCACTGACTCTGCCTAATATTGCAAGACTGGCTGTCCAGCCTTGATATGCAGCTCCTCTGTGGGTAAATTTGGTCTCAGACCACCAAGTGCATGTTTTCCAATAGGTATTACAGAAACATTAAGGGCCTTTTCCTTAATGGTTTTGGGGTTTTTTTGTTTGGCAGATGTATTCTGCAACATGTCATTGATACATTAGTGGTGGACCATCCACACATCATGCCACATTGTTAGTTGTTTTGGCAGCGTTCCCCAATGTTATTGCATTATTGCCACCCAGAGGGACACCCTTTCATTACACTGCAAGAAATGCAGGACAAAAATTAATCCTGAACATTTGCAATATAAAAAGTTTAAAGGATTTGAGCAGGACGTTATAGAACATGCACCAAGTACAAATGGAGTATGTCTGCCCTGAAGCCTTTGCAGGCATAAACAGCGTTGACAACAGGCCTGTGTATAACTGCCCTGATACCATTATGAGCACAAATCATGAGGAATGTCCAAAGATGTCTGGAGGGGCTATGAGAAGAGCTGCAGGTTCAGTTATAGAGAGAGATCCTTCAGAATGGGGTATCTGTCTGTGGCTGGCATCTAGCTGCTCTTTCTGAATGGGCAGAGCTGGCGCCACAGATGGTACAGGGTTGGGAGGGGTCACAGGAAGGAAAAATAACCACTCTTGAGCCTCTAATCCCCTCAAAGCTTTAGGGGATGATGGGAGTGGATTGGCTTTCACTGGAGGCTTTGCTCCATTGCACCCCATATTGCCAAGCCGCTCCCACACGACAGATAGGATGCAGCCAGGAATTAACTCCCTCCCTGCCCACTTGGCTCTTAAACACAGCCAAAGCAAGCTTCGGACAACCATGCTTGAGAGGAGGAGGAGGAGGAGGAGAGAGAAACAGGCCTTGTTTTGCATGCTACCCAAGGCTGCCAAAGGGGTCTTTAAAAAAAGAGAAGCAAAGCTTTTCACTTAAAAAATCACGACAGTCCCATTAAACACAATGGGCATCACTTAGTGCAAACTTCTTTACTGCAGAACAAT